GCATCGGACATCCACTACGCCGCCTCGGCACCCATCATGCCATGCGAATGCGCCCGATATCGATATGCAAGACAGAAGGTCGCCACTACTAAGCTGCTGAGATGCAACAGCAGTAGGCTTTTGGTCGTCCGTGTGTCTCTATGTCGCTATCTCACACTGCTGTCACCACTACTATGTCTCCCCTCGGAGCATTTCTGGCTTCTTCGCACCGAACGTGCCGGACGAGAAGGAGGCCGGAACAAATGCACACGTAGCCACCCACCTGAACGCGCTTGATGTGCAGGTAAACTGGAAGCTCGAGATGACAAAAGTGCAAGCTTAATTCGTCCGATCCTTTGGGTGTTGTGCACTGTAGTCCGCTGTAGGCGCAAGGTAGGCGCCAGCTTGCTGTTTGGCGGCAATGGTTGCGGGCGACCATCGCCCTCGGGGTTTCCAGGACGAGGCAACGCTAGGTTGCTGCACGGTGAAAAAGCTAGGATGCACTGCACCGTTTGCGTTCTACTGTAGGTTGCAGCTGTCTGTCCCGTTTAGGCTAAGCCGCGGCGCAGGAGGGGGTAAGGGCTAGGTTGCTGTGCACCGTCAGGGCTAGGTTGTCGTGTACCGTCAACGCTAGCTTGCTGTACGGTGTCACAGGGCTAAGTTGTTGTGCACCGTGAACGCTAGGTTGCAGTACGGTGAAAAGCTAGGTTGCCGTGCAGGCGTGCAGGGCTGCGCCTACCCAAGGAATGTTCCAAGAAATGGTATCCCGACATAGATGCTAATCTCAGTTGATACCCCGCTATAAGAGCGCGAAGAGGGAGCGGAGGATCCCAGAATATCTGTCGTTGATTTCTATTGACTTGCGGACCCCTCGGGGCCAGTTTATTTGAGTGTACCTTTTTAGGGTAAGTTAACCTGTGACCACGGGAATCGACCGCGTCGAGTGTTGGATCAGTACGGACGTACGAAGGTACTGGGTAGAGAGAGATCGGAACGGTTGTGAAGACAACAACAACAACAACAACAATAGAGACCACAGCTTTCGACCAACCAAGTCGTCAGCACTACTGCGTCAACCCGTCAACCCGTCCACCCGTCAAGAAAGCTTCGTATTTGGTTCGTCCGAGAATGAATTTTGGACCGTTTGCGCATCTTCGCCAGTTACCTAGGAGACGGCAGGTACCGACAGGATGCCATACCGACTAACTTCTTCTGACAAACTTCCAGGAAATATTCCACTAAATGCTTGTGGTATCCACGAAATATGCATAGTGGTATGACGTCTAAACCTTGATCTATTTGTGTATATATCTGATCTATCTACCGTTCACCTGTGAAAGACAGGCAGGGGTATCCTGTACTTGTAGTGGCATGTTGGCAAACTCGTGGCTTCTGGGGAAAATTGTTTTTTTGATGAGACCTTGGACCAGGAGAACAGGTCAAAAGGTAGAGTGAGCAAGGGTTGGGGCGAGCACCGCAGCACCAGCACCACCCGTCGAGCACAATAATAACGGAACACAATAATAACGGAACACAACGAGTCAACAGGGGCTAACAACGTACTTCACAACGCACACTGAATCCTCTATCCACAAAGAACACAATGCACCGTCCATGAAGAATATTCCTACCCATTCGGTCGCCCCGGTGGTCTAGTTGGTATCCTCGACACCTCCTAGAGGTCAGGTCAGGGGTTCGAATCCCGGCGTACAGGACTCCCATCGACACACCAGGACGGACGGACGGGTAGGAGGATGAGTGGGTGCGTGGAAGATGCCGTCACAACACAGCTAACTCCACACTCCTACGACTATGTATAGTCGGCGTCTGGTCGATACGAAACTCGAAGGTGGGCATGATGAAGGTCGACCCGTCCTGCGTCGTTCGGTGTAAAATAATAAATGCGAAAGATGAACTGCGTAAAGATACAGCATATCTCCGATCTCCGAGGGGTCCTCCTGCGCTGCATCTATCGTCGACACATACATGTGGCAGCCGTACGACACACGAACGGATGTTTGCATTTAGACTACAGATGGCGCCCGCACTTAGGAACATCTTAATTTGCGTGAGGCTCGGGTTCTTAGTTGCCTGTTGAGGCCGCGAATGGCCATTATATAGGTTTTAGTGTGAGGTTCTTAACGGGGACCACTAAAATACGCTCATGTTCATGAGTTTTGGATTGAGCCTCATGTTCTTAACAGGTAGGTTCTTAAGTGCGGGCGCCATCTGTATACTCTTCATGTAGATAGCGCGATCACTGCTTTTCAGGGTACACCTCGGTAGCACTAGTTTTTGAGGCAGATTCAGGCGGGGCGGTACTTCAATGTGGCGGTACTTGTTTGGCTGTAGGCGGTATTACTATTTCGTTTTCCGGCGGTACCGCCTTTGTGGCGGTTCCCGGTATACTGCCAATTATGGCGGTACTTTTCTGGCGGTAATGCAATATGGCGGTTTTTTCTAGGCGGTTCCCGGTACTTCGTTTTTTGGCGGTACTTCTTCGGCGGTACTGCAATATGGCGGTACTTTTTAGGCGGTAGGCGGTATTTCGCTTTTCGGCGGTTCGCGGTACCACCGAATGTGGCGGTAATTACCGCCAGTACGGGACCGCCCACCGCGGCGGGAAAAAAATGGCGGGAATTTTCCCGAGGTGTACCCTCCTGATTTTGCTTCACGGCAGTGTGGACCAGACGCCGAACGACGTCCGCCTATTACGGCAGGCAACGACCATGACTGGATGGGATACCTTCTGCGACGGCGAGCCATACTACTATATAATTATATTATTACTATGCGATGCAAACATCCGTTCGCGTGTCGTGCGCCTGCCACATGTCCACCAACAGGTACACGCAGAGCTCCCGCTCTCTCTGTATGTAGTTGTTGCCGCGCAAAGGCTCTCCTCGGGGATCTTCCACATCGTATTTTCTACTGCGGTACTACTGTACATAGAAGTCGTGATGGGAGTGTCGAGGTACTTGTGTTGTCACGGCAGCTTCCTGCCATTGCGATTGCCATCGTCGCTTAAGCGCTTGTGTCTTCAAACCTTCTTAGCCGGCCTTCAAACTTCTTCCTGAATATTCTCCGTGTTAACTTCTCCGCGAATGAGTCGTATGCAGTTATGACCTGCGCTTTGACTTTCACGATGGGTATTCTACCTCCCCGTCTTGCATTGGTGAGTACCTGCGTTATACGGAAGAATCGCTCCACGACGCAAACGTCGACGTCTCCGTTTTTTTTTATTCCCTTCGCACTCCTTCCTTGCGGCGGTTTTCACACCGACTTCGAACGTGGGGTTCGATTCCTCTCTTCGTACCTTCCTCGTCGGCCTTCTCCATCGTTATGTACATAATGGAACCTCGAGTTTTCGGCTGTTTGATTTCCGATAGACAAGACTACGGACTGACATGTCCCTTTCACCCCCGACGGGACCGCGCGCTCGTCGAGTCCCGAAATGTTTCACCACTTCCTTGCTCCTCCCAACACCATCCCTTCTTCCCGCCCCTACAAATCCTCTCCCCTTCTTCTTCTTCTTCTTCTTTCTTTCCTCCCGGACACCCACCACCATCCGTCCTGGATGTTGGCCCCAAGCCCCAATGGGGGGCGGGGGGCCAATCCTTAACCCTAGTTCACGTTATTCTGACGCCATGCCCTAGACGAAAAGAATTACCCCCCCCCGGGCCCCGTCTCAGTCGTATTATTTCACGGAACACGCCGAAGCCCATGCTTCCCATACCCACCAACGTATACCAATAGCGTTGTCCGTGTAGACTTGCTCCCGCCCGGCAGCCACTGGAACACGATAGTCCAGGTGTTCTCTTCCCTCTACAGCTACTGTATGTACCTCACAAGTCGTCCTGTGTACCACAAACTGACTAGACAGCCAAGACCTATTCCTTGGAGGCCCTCCCGGCTACGAAAGAGTTGTGCAAGAGGGTCATCCGAACACGGTCGAGGCGGGAACTTCATTCATTCACAGATGGTCCTTCATGAGGTCTATCATCCCCCTCACCATTTGAAGCAATATTTGACGTGCAGGTAAACGAGTGGTATTCGCTGTTGTGGGTTGGGCCACAACATGATTTGGGAAATACGAAAATACAGCAGCAGATATACAAGTAGATTTGTTTTCCCGGTGGCACTGGGTAGTTGTAGTTACATGCTCAGCGTTCTTGCCACAGGCTCGGCTGGGTAGCAATCCTGCAGCGCTTGTGTCTTCCATTGGAACGGCGCGTTCCTCGACATTGATTGATGTTTTAGCGCTCTAGCCGGTTCAGGATTAAACATACCGAGAAACAGTAGTGCGCAGGTCATGCCGACCACTGTACAGCAAAGAAAAAATCAGCTACCTCGCTTCCGCGAAACCCGGTACCCCTCTGACGCAACTAGAAACCCAACAAGCCAAGAAGTGAGACACGGGCTTCACCGGTGGTGCAATCTACGTACGTCCCCAGCTGCGGGCCACGAATCTGTTGATTCGTTCAGGGGCGTAATATCCGTTTTGCGACTGTAAGCGGTGACCGGGGCGACAGAAAACGGCGAAAGCCGTCACGCGATTCCCTCCGTGTTCGGATTGGGGTGATACTGGATGCATAGACTACGCATATATTGCAAGACCCGGGACGTTTTCGTATGCACACAACATACGGTGCTTCACATTGGCTAGAAAGCCCGGTCACGGTGGTCTCCGCTTGAGGCGCCAGGAAGCCAGAACCGGTGGTCGTGGCCAATCAGCGTGGGGCCTCCGGGTCAACTCCTGAGTCGTTGTCTTGTATACGGTACTGTACATTGCTCTGGCACCCGAACCCCCCCGGAAAACTGTTTTCTGCCGTTTGCTGGCTTCCAAAACCCTAGATGTCCCACTCGCACGACAATTGGGCGGATGCCTACACTGATTACTGCCCTCTAGGTTGTGCTGCCAGCATCTATCGTGCGAATGATGACGAAAGTCACATGATGCATGGCCGTGACATCCTGCCAATAATTTCGCCGCATGCACCCACCGACCCATCGCCCCACCTCTACAACACTGGGGCTGATCTAGTCTGATCGAACCATGAAGACTCATGCCCCTTCAACACCCACTGTACTGCCGCGTCGCCGTCACGCCTCTGCACCTGGACCATTTTCTGCTCGAAAAACACGAACTCAGATGAGCTAGGAGGGGCGCGGCGCTCTCTGTGGGCCTTCTTCGTCGCCTTGGCAATCTCAAGGCGAGCAGTGTCTTCGACCCCGTGGATGAACTCCCGCAGAGAGGAATACACCCCTCCCTCCAGCTGAGCTGTCTGTATGCATGGGTGGAACATTGAGGGGGTGGGGGTTGATCCTACAGGGTAGGAGGAAGGCCGAATAAACTCATCGGTTCAGATTCAACGAAGCTACCAGCAGCCACTCGGTACAGACCTTTACTGTTCACAGCAGATGTGGGCAGGTGGCAAACTTAGTGGAGAACACAGCAGTACTTACAAAACTTGAAGATAGGTTGTCAAACAACAATCGTGGCCACACACCTGGGGACCCGCGGCTACATCTACGCCACCATCGTCGAGAGTTTGCCCTGCCAGCTGAGCCTCCAGCATGCTCTCCATGCTCCCCAATGCCGCCGAAAACGTTTCTTCGGCAAGAGCACCGGCCCCCGACAGAGGTGCCGCAGCTATTGCGGCCAACGTAGCGCATACCACCTGCAGCACAAACGTCGCCACGCTCACCGACATGCGGAACCAAGTACGGGGGTGCTGGATATCGTACCCCTGGCCATCGGGCCCACACGGCACAAGCCGATGTGTTGCGGCACACACCAGAAACAGCCGCAATTTCTTTTTGAAGATCCCCTTTCCCTGCTTGAAGTCGTCTTCTCGCCACTGGTCCAGTCGTTTGACCCAACACTCCGGTGCTTGCTCCTCGTCGGACAGGCCGCGACCTTGCGCCAAGTCCCACGGGGGAAGGACGCATGCCCTGCGAGGTGTATCGAACCCTTCGCGTCTCATCGCCATCATCATCACAACGAGGAAGTCGAGCCTACCCATCACCCCATCGTCTGCATCGATCATGTCCACCAAGCGCGTGTCCACGGCTCCAATCCGCTCTCGTACATCCTGGTGTTGTTGTCCCACTTGCTGCTGGAGGTCGTTAACTAACCGTTCAAGCCTCGCAACCTCGGCTGAAGCAACGCTAGCGGTGCTCCCAACAGCCTCCCCGCCGATCGGCCCTCTGGCGCCGCGAAGCATGTCGCCCATTTCTTCTTTCACGCCGTCCCACCATGCGTCGAATCGTCGCTGGGATTGTTCAGGATGGAGGCCTCGCGCTGCCTGATTGGCGTATCAAGGGGACGGCCATCACTTATGCACAGATATTTGATACGCTGCTGATACGACGTCCCTCGCGTTTCGGCGTGAGGTTGCATCGCCGGCTGAGCTACGATACGGAAGCTCGATGGAACTGAAACGAGTTCGGTCCTAGACGTCCATCCCGAAAACGACACCCAACACCAACTGGCAAAAAAAAACAAGACTGGCAACAAGGTGTAGAGAAATTGGTTGACATGAGCCGATGTCAAGCACCGATTCCGAAATGTTGGGGCGTTCACACCAGGGAAAACGTTGAAAAGAATGAGTGGGCTCCCCCAACTAGGGACACAAGGGTACACCGTAAAGAGCCATAGAACCAGCGTCCCTAATACCATCAGGTACACCACGAAGTCACTGCCCTGCGTACACAGTGCTTGTAGGCGTCTAATGCCCACGCTTGTGACCAGGGCCGAGCACACACACGCAAGATCAGGTGCGTGAAAAACCGACCAAACCTCACCTCTGGACGAAGGACAGGATACCGGTCCTGCGCTTGGACTAATCTCCCGGCCATCTCCTGGAACAGCTTGTCTGGAGTACAGGAGAAATAGGAACGTGCGCCAGGAAGTCGCCTGGTGAATGGTGACTTGGCACAACAGCTACACTCTTGCCGCGAAAGGAGAAATACACTAGCGTTGCACAGGTAAAGTCACACAACATGGACCCACAAAGAAACACGTCAACGCGTTGTCCATCTTTGTCTTCCGGCAACCGACCATAGCACTCATATGATAAATTAATCAACGACGCTAGGTGCGCGGTGGCCTCAACTCGTTCGCGGAGCACATACAGTTACACCCATCGTGTACGTAGATGCTAGGGTATCGTAGGGATGTCTAATTACAGTAGGGATGACATCCAAACCAGCGCCGATGGTCCCAACCGTGAGCTGTTGCGGAAAGTGATCCGAACACGACGTGTTGTGGAACGCTTCCGTGAGCGCCGGGTGCCCCGTTTAATGAGAAAGGTGCAACTCGCCACCCTCACGCGCACCTACGCAGTCATGTACGTCGACGATCTCCAAGATGTACATCGCCGCAGCGCCCAGTCCTCCGGTCCTTGAGTTGCAAAGGCTGCAAGTCTCACCTAACAAGATGTTGTCGCCGGGTCGAGTCGCCTGCCGTACGAGACATACAAGCCGGCCATTCGGAAGAGTTTGGTAGATGGAAAACAATCAATACAGAAGATGATCGGGGGTTGCGAGATTTACGAAGCGCACGAACGGCGTGTTGAGCGCCAAACACCAACATACAACCTGACAAATGACGTTGGCAATGCTGCCGGTAGACTGCTGCCGGTATGCTGAATTTAGCAATCGACGTGTGTCCCCTATGCCCACCGGAGAAAACCCAGAAGCAGCTACAAACTCACCGCCTTGCTAATCTGCATCTCTTGCTCATGCTGAGGGCATTTGAGGGAGGCGCGCCATCGCAGCCCCGGAAATTCCGAGCACATCGCCTGAAACACCGAGGTGCCAAACGATAGCGCTGCCCAGGGAGCGGCGGTACTGATGCTGCCGTACACCTTCATGTCGACCTCACACGTCTCGTGCGAGTATTCTATCAGCAACGCAAACGTCTTTGCGGCCACGCCACCTAGACTGCCTTGCACCAGCACGCCAAAGCACCAAAATGTTCGGAGCGCGCCTAGCCTGCAGCATCGCGTAAGCATCTTTTCGAGGCCCCAGGAGGCACGCCAAGGAAAACTTTCCACGTCATGCTCAGCACGGCTGTGTGGTCGCGGCGGAAGTCGTCCAGCTCCTTGCCTACATCTTCAGGACGTTTTTCATGGAGTCTGAGTAGAACGACCAGCCCCTCGGCGGGATCATCGTCTAGCGGGTACGTGAGTCCCAGCGAATCAAGCGCGGGGAGGACGTAGTTGCTAAGACCATCAGGCCACAGCACTCTGGCAAGCGACGGTTCGAGGACACCATTTCCTTTCAGCCTATTCCAAGACGCGATGTGCTTGTCCTCCTTCAGCGTGATTCCTGTGTCGCCCAGGGACACATCGCCACAAAATGGATCCTCGTCATCCCTGTGGTTCAGGAGTGGCTTCAGACTTTGGGTTAGCCACGTTACGTCAAGAAAAACGTAAGTCTCGTGGCGGACCAGGGAACCCTCGTGCTCCCTGCGGACACCGGCGTATCGTGGCAAGTACGAAACGAACGGGATGTATTTCAACGGCACGGGAAAAGAGGCATCAGAAGACGAATGTCATCACATGCTTAGTCACTCGCCCGCAGCACCTAAAACAGACAAGAGGCAGGTTCTCCGAAGTATCGTTGACAAATGGAGGGGGATTCCAAACAATGTTGGCAAACGGAGGGAGGAAATCAACCGAAACCGTTTCTGGTACAGGGTCCAAACCAACCCCGCAGTGTTGCAAAGTTTTCGATTCACACAATGCAGTATCGGTCATATGCTCTCCAAACCAGTACGTCGTGGTTTTCTCCTGCGGGACTAAGGGGCCGCTGGGAGGGAGGCATTCCACCCTTGGTGCCGACGTGGGTACATCCTCTCTATGTTCCCACCACAGGTCGTCCCTACAGGTACAGTTCCTTCTTTGTTGCGAGTCGTTGGACCAATTCGTCGCCTGAAATTTTGTTTCATTCACTTGGAGGTAGAGCATGTATAGCTTGCATTCCTACGAGCAGGCCGCCAGTTAACGCGGTCCAGCATACCTGATAAGGAGTGCGCCTTCAACAGCGTGGTCAGGGTTGACGATTGATCCTCCATCTCCCTGAAGAGCTACGACTACGTCATTCCATTTCGTATGGGCATACCTCCTACGCCCCGGTTGCGCTGGTAGACTGCGGGGACGACCTCTGTGGCGCTTTTCGGTCCACCCGACGCGAGAACCGTCTGGTGAGCCGGATCTACGGGGTCCCTGCAAATGTCGCCAAGAGAACCTCGGTTGATACGAACTTCATGACAATGATGTACACGTGAACAAACAATAGCTTTATGTAGCTCTGTTGACATACGACATGAGGTAGAGTTCAATGGGATATCGAGGTGACCAGAAACATAAACAACCTGTGAGCTCAGCGTCGAACTCGCCTGCCGCTCCCGAGAGCATCCAACACCTCAAGAGCGATATTCCAGCTGCGAGGGAGCACGAGGGATGCACCTCGAAGGTCACTCTGGCTGTTGTACATGACCCGGTGAAGCAAACTCGGATGAGACTCGACGCACGTTCCCTCGCGCCAGTCGCAGGCCCACGTCGATTGCTCACCCGGACTCTTCCTCTTCCCCAACGTAGCGCCTCCATCCTCGTTAGGGGTTGGCGCCAAGCAGCTCGTCAGGCTCACCCAATTCTCAACACGGACAGCGGTCATTCCAGCACCAGACCAACTCTCTAGCCACTTCCCAATAGCGCCTTCAATCCTCCCCGCCGTATCAGCGGCCATTCCGGCTGCGAGATCGCATTTGGTTGTGACCATGACGACGTCGCTATCAGGAATGCGGAGCGATAACGAGCGCAGCCAATCGCACACGCGTAGTGCTTGGAGCTTGCTCAGGTCCTTCTTCAGCCGGTCTCCGTCGGTCAAACTACTGTCGCGCTGCCCGAACGCACCGGTGTCGCATACGAGGAGACTCGCGGCTCGAGGCGAGAGGAACATCTGCAGCAGCCCTGTGTAGGCGACCTGGCCCAAGTGGGAAGGAAAGTGAATGTGTCGTTCGGAGTACAGAGGCTCGCAAAAGTAAGTCACAGGGGTTGCACACCAAGGGAGGGCGAGTGAAGTATGTCTATTGTTCCCATGTTGTCGATGGAAAAGGTGGCCGAATGTGTTTGTGGTACTAACAGGGGGGGGCGGCGGGCATTTACTCGATTGTATTCTCTTGTGTGTCACGGCGAAAAACGCGCTGCCGGCGTCGCCATACGCGACAGGCTACGCTTGCTCTATGGGAGGACAACCGCAAGACGTTCACCTGTCCTGCGCAATCGTACACTCGGAAGGTAGCGCCATTGACGTCTATCTGCTCGGCGTCCATGTGTACCGTGCTTTCCTCGGGTCCACGGGTAGGGGTAGGTCGCCCAGTCCTCAAGATCTGGCGCAAGCTGCCCGAAACCAAGCAGGTACGTTGTGGGTGGGAACTACTAACGCAAAACAAGGTGGCAACAAACACAATACATCCAAAGGTGTCCCCCACCCCCAAAGAAAACATGCGATCTTCGTTCAGACGAAACACAAATGATTGGATACCCTGCCCCGGGCAAGTTGAACACAGGGATACATGTATCCTACATGTTTCAGCGTATCCTGCACCAAACTTCATCACACCAGGTGGGGACGTGATAATCGCGTGGACGGGTGCTTGAACGAGTTAGATGACACTTGGGGGGGTCAAATCAGTCATATCCTGTGGGTAGGACACCCTCGACTTCGCTCTAGTTCAACGATGCCAATCCAAAGGTACCGGGCCACCATCGTTAGCCATTTTACCACCAATATCATCAAAGGCGAAACCAGACTTACCTAGTTTTCCCGGCACCCTCTTGTCCGACAAGAACGATCTTCATCATTTTTCGCCCGACAGGAGCGATGCCTTCTGCAAACAGATCGGTGAAGTATTGTACTCTTGCACTGCTGGTGCCCCCTTGCTCACCACCGCTTCTGGTGGTTCTTGCCACGGGTTTTTGTGGACATATAGCCCAAGCTGTGATAGCGTCGCCAGCAGTGCTTCCAGTTGTTTCGGAAGTGAGTTACTAGCTGCGGTGTACGGGCAGGTATGACACGTGAGAAAAAGTACTTGGCTAATGTGTAGATCGAAGCAATACGGCGAACGGCCGTCGGACACGGCCACGGACCTGCTTTACCCGGCTACGATACAAGCCATCTCGCTGCACGGCTGTGGTGTCTACCCTTCGCTCGTGATGGCTAGATATGATACCACCCGATCCGGGCATTTTCTACTGGAAGAACTGATATTCAGATGATGCCCATCGAACATTCGAGCGAAAACAATAATATTCTTGCGCTCGGCGACACTTGGTCATAAATACCATGACACGTTTATGTCGATTCAGTTACCCCCAGGCCATCACTCGCCGGCGCTCGGCGACACTAGGGCCGTCTGGCGTATCTTCCTCAACGACACCATCCTCCTATTTATCTCATCAACTCTTTCGAGTAAAAGCGTACCATGTGCATTGCAACCATTTCCCGAACGCGGGAGAAACACGCCAGACGCATCTAGCCCACCCCTCGTCACGCCAGAACGCTTGGGTATGGTCATAATGTGCGCTCGACGAGGGGACTAACTGCGAGCACGTGTGCATTCCACTTGAGATTCAATGGGGCCCTTCGCCTCTCACGTTACACCGGTAAGGGCAATAACTCCATCACAATGCTCCCCGAAGTCCGGTCGGGGACATTAGTTACGGTCAGTGAGGAAATTTGAAGCGATCAAAAGGGATCGAGTCGCTGACCCAACGACCGGAAAGAGCACACAAACGGAAAAAAGGCCTATTCATATGCTTTCAATGGCGCACACAGTCTCACCCCACGTTGCAGAGGGGAAACGCACCGTCAATGTGCGTTCCGTGTACCGGTCGTGGTGTTCCCAGGGCAGCATAACCAAAGTGGACAACTTTAAGTCATATGCGTTGCGTGTTCTGGCCGACCCCATTCGTTCTGTTTGTTGCTATCGTCGTCCCAGATTGCGGCCAGGTGACGTCGGCCACAATGCTGGCTGATCTGGCCTTGACAAGTTGGGAATACCCTGTCTTGCCGACCATAAGCTCTAACGTGATATTTACATCGACCATGACGTCCTCTACATTCTTCCGAGTGAATGGATCAGGCTGGTGCTTGACATCACTTACTGAAGAATCATGCCCAGACCCACGCCCGCATGCGCTCTTCGAGACTAGACCTCCAGGCGTATCTCCCCAACGACACCAGCCTCATCCGTGAGATCCTACCTCATCCAAGCTGCGGAGAGAAAGCTTGCCGTGCACATTGGGAAAAATGCTGGATCTCAAGGGGGGAACACGCCAAACGCATCCACCCCGCGCCTCTCCATGCCACTCACCTGTAAGCCGGTTGTAGGCGAGGTCACGCCTCTCGAGGTCGGTGAGGGCGCCCAGCTCCTTGGGGATGGAACCTGCGCGACCATGGCACCGGTAAGGCTTGGACACGTCGGAGACTGTAGCAATCACACATCTTGCCTTGTGTCACACGCGCCCGCTGTGAACTGACTGAACATCTATCCCACACCAGCTGTCCGAAATTGAGCCCGTTCGACTTTACCCCGTACGATTGTTCCTTCTATTCCCGCATCGGGACAAATTCCGGGAAGCGCCCAAATGGTGGGCGTCCATTCAACGAAAGTCCCAGCACAACTCGATGCAGTTGTCTTCAGTCGCTGAGTGAGGTATCAATGTGTGTTCGGGAGAGGGTCTAGCCGTGAGCACATACATGTGGATCTCATTTGGGTTTACATGGTGCCATTCGTTTCTTACGGTAGCCTGGTGCAGCATCAATCGATCATTATGATCCAAGTAGCATCGGTAGGTACAGTGTAAGCGGTCTGTTACATCATTTGCAATCATCAGAGAGCAGCGAGTCTCCAACCCAGCGATGGGAAAAGGGCGCACAAACGATACACAACTCGCGCTTTCCAGGGCGCACACAGTCTACACACCCCGCGTTGCGGAGAGGAAACGCGGCGGGTATCGAGTTATACTCTGGTGCATCGTGCTCTGTTAGGCACAGGCGGTGCCGAATCACGCCAGAGTCTGTCCGTTCTGTGTACCCTTCGTGGTGTTCCCATGGTACCAAAACCGAAGTCGACAACTTACAGTCATGGACGGCGCGAGCTCTTTATGGTTCCATTCGTCTGGTTCTTGCAATTGTCACCCCGCTTTGCTGTCAGCTGACGTGTGGCACAATACTGGCCGATCTGGGATTGACACGTTGGAAAAACCCGTCTTGCCCAGCGTACGTTCCAATGTGAAGTGACGATAATGACGTCCTTTCCATGTTTCCGAGTGAAAGAATCACTGTGGTCCTTGGCAACACTCGTTGATGAAGTACGCACGATTAATTGTGCTTTCACCACATCCAGACCCTTGGAAAAGACACAACGACACGGAACAGGGAACAGGGAATTCCGAGTTATCTGTTCCCGATTTCCCTGTTCCCTGTTCCCTGTTCCCCGTTTGGTCTACAGTAGTAGAGCGTTTTCGTGCATGGGCTACACCCACACAAGGAATGTCCCAAGAAATGGTATTCCGACATGGAGACCACATTTACCACCAAGCCGTTGAGCCGTTACATACATGTAGCACTTGGACAGCAGTACAGGCCCAGTACATTTGTAGACTGCGCGACTCCCTTTTTCTGATCGTTACGTCATTGCTCGCTTTGCTCGACACACAGCGGGTCCACTTGGCTTTGCTCACCATAGAGCAGCGGTACGAGGATGAAAAGTAGCACCTGGCACGGAGGATATCACACTTCCAACGACCTTTCCCACCCGGCCTGCTGTTTTCAGCATCGTGAGGGCAGGGTGCAGTGTCACAACTGGGTGTTGCCTGCGGTTTTCCCCTTCCCGCCCGTTTTCCGGTTGCAACCCCTCTTTCACCACTCCCTGTCGAAAGGTATAGACGGGCTCACTGATCACAGAGCGGTAGCGGCGCTGAGGGCCATTAACACATACATGACCAATCCGACAGAACTAGCGTGTCGGAGGTCCTACTGCTCGATCTACCGCTGCACGGTGCCGTCAAGCTGTGGACCAGTTTTCCGAATTTATTTCCGTATTTTCCGCTCAACGGAGACGGGAGGCACATCATTTCAACCTTGACACACGTGCGTCCTGCCAACAACGGACACGAGCCACACCCCACCTGAGCGCGCTTGGTGTGCAGGTAGACTGGAATCTCGAGACGACAACAATGCAAGTGCCTTCGCTCGTCCGATCGGTCGGCACGTGGCATGCAGGACCTCAGGTACTTGTGTGCTTGTGTGCTAGTTGCGGGCGAACGCGGGCGAACAGCACTGTCAGCAGGGTTTCGCAGGAACGCCTCGCAAACCGACGGTTTCAGCTTTTGTTTGAAATTTCTGATCACGTGACGACTGACGACAACGACTTTTCCAATTAGAATTTTCGACCGTTTGCGCTGCTTCGCCAATCACCTGCTACCGTGACTGTATAGGGCAGCGCAGGTACCGGGAGGACTCGAGGAAGGAGACATGTTGGTGCCTGCCACCCACGACTCACTCTACTGCCCGCGACGCCGTACGCATGAAAGGATTGTAGATACTCTCAGCTTGTCAGAGAGGCGCGTCTCCGTCCCGGCACCGTATCTCCTCTCCTCTGACGACGTTCCTGGGAAGGAACAGGGTTCGGCGGGTGTAGCGTTCGTACGCCTGAGCATGCCCAAGACCATGTACGCGTTTTTCTTTGCGGATGTCGGTGGCCCTTGAACTGTAACGAAACCCCAGATACTCTTCCCTGCGAAATAAGGGAGTACTATAGTGAGGCCTTGTTCCTTTAAACTTTGTCGCAGAGGGGCCGGTGGCCTTTCCGAGGCGGGGGATGTGACAATATTCGCAGAGCATGACAACCTCCAACACCTTGCTCGACCAGGGGTTGTCGCGCTATATTCACTTCTCCGCCTCATGAGCGTTTCCGCTTCCCGAAAGTGCAGTATGGGGCTCGAGGTCGCACGCCGAAACTGCCCTTCATCAAGGTTGACCGAGGTCGGTGGAAATTGTTCTGCTGTAGCACAGCGTTGGTCCCACTCTGACGGGTAAAATAAACACGTTTGGCAAGGCAAGCAAGCGAAGGATGGCGAGCTTCTTGTGTTTTCACAGGCCAAGACCTACCGTGTTGGCTTCGCGCAACGGTTGTTTGTAGCGTCCTCCATTGGGCTCTTCTGTAGACTGTTGATTTCCTGATGTCAATCCCGAGTTGCTATGTACAGACCGCGCCCAACGGCTGTCGGGCGACTTGTGTATCAAGTTTTTTCTGGAGTCATTCCCCAGCATAATATAGCCCTACGTTCAGGGGAAACATTCCCCTAAACGCAGGTCTCTCATGTCGTTTTTCAAGGAACGTGCCGTATTCGCCCCATGCTTGTAGACGTGCTCACTTCCGCACCCCCCTTCGCCCGTCAATTACCACGACAATCAGCCGTATGCTTGTTTTCTCAAGTCTTCCTTTCCACCACATGATGGCTACCGGGGTCGAGTGAGTATGTAGACCCGGGACCAATGGAAATACGGTAAGACTTGTTTTTCCAAGAGAACTACTGTAGTTTCAAGCTTAGTGTTCATGCTACAGGCTCGCCTGGCAATCTTGATCTTGGACTGGAGTCTTCCGTTGGAATGGTGCGCTCCTCGACACTCTTGGTTTGGCGGTCTACTGAACGTAGCCGTTACAGGCAATACATTCCCAGAAGTACTGTAGTGAGCAAACCGTGCCGAACACTGGAAAGTAAAGCACCAATCAGGGAGCTCTCTTCCACACAACCCGGTGCTCCTCAAGACCCAAACAAATACCCAAGATTAAAGGAAGCGGAGCACGGCTAACCCGCTCGTGCAATCTGCCTCCCCCGCTCCGGGCCAGGTGAAAATTGGCTGGTGCAGGGGCGGAACATCCTGCACGCGTCGATACCGCGAGTCGACTGTAAACTCTCAGCATCACATTCGTTCTTGAATGTCGAAAGAAAGGAACAGGAAAAACAGATACTGTAGGATGATCGATCCTCAACGGACGTCGTTAGGTGCCCGTTGAGCATATTTTCGATGCCGCTAAGCATCTACTGTACTTGTAGACTCCTCACCACCACGTACAGTAATCGGTGTGTACGGGACGGGCCTGGAGATTCATTTTTTCTATAATGCGTGGTTGTTATGCATACATACGTATCCCGTTGATGGAACACTGCTACTACTGAAGTACACGTGAACAATACACTACTAGCGTCGAGTCGACTAAACGCCATCACCGAAAGACGCAGGCTTCCCGCCGCTGCTTCCACCGAAAAGGCGCCTTTACAGCCGAACTTTGCGGCGCAGAGGAGCAACAAAACACACTACTGTAACTCTCGACAGCACCAATCAATACACGTACCAGATACACTAACGTCTACCCACTTGTCTTCTGCAACAACTCACGCATCTTCTCGTGTCACACAGCCGCATGATTGCCCACACTCTATAATAAAGAAACCACAAGCTATTAGTACATTTCAAGTTGGTTTTGTACCGTTACCAACCGGTTAGTTGGTCGGGCTGAACCGTGAAAACAAACGAGAAACGATAATTAATCGACGACCTACCCATCGACGCCAAGACGATAGACGAACACAAACGAACATGCCTGAAAACATCGCACCAAAAAAACAAAAACAAAACATTCCCAAAATTTCGCACTGACTGGAAAAACACCACCAATCATTTTTATAACCGGGCTGCATCTCCTTCACCCCGAAAAATACCCAACAAGATACAAGTGCTAGCCACAGAAAACCGACCAAAAAGTAAAATGTACCAAGAAGTAGATATACAAGCGCACGAAAGAATGGCAGGTACACGACCGATGTACACGCAGCCTCTTCGCTTGTCATATTAAACAAAATAACGTCCAGGTCCGCAACATGCCGCATCCACGTTCGTTCGCGTTGCAGAATTAAGCAACAACAATATAGCCCAAAACCAAAGCTCACACGCAGAATTCATACAAGTACTGTAGTCTACGCCTGACAACGTCGTCTCGGGAGCACAAATTTCGACAAAAAGAGGGCAACACCCTAGTCAGAATGAGACGCGTGTAACGCCTCTTCCTGATGCACCCTGCTCCACGCACACCTCTCCTGTGACATGAACCATTCCGACGAACCTTGTCTTCGCTCCAAACCATCACCCGATCCATCGCTCTCTCAATAATAAAACAAAAACTTAGTAGTCTTCTCGTGTTAACAAGAGAACTGGAACTTGTTTTGAACCAGTGCAAACCCTACCATGGTATTGACTATCCATACCCCACGTGCTCGCCGTGGACCAGGCTGAATACCGGCCGACCTTGAAGCGAACACCCTAAAGTACACGCCCCCGCCCCCCCAAACGACGAAATGCCGGCACGGCTCGTGGCAGCATCACCAACGCCGTTGTTTCTTCCCCCCTAGACTCGACTATCTTGCAACCGACGAGCCCCGGGAACCATGGACGACTTTTTGTGCCTCTACATGGACATTTCTATCCCATTGCCTCAACAGCGCACTAGCAGCTCCGCTACTCACACCACAAGGGCTCCCACTTCCCAACCCCTCCACGCCCTAGGGCTCTAGACACCACGGGGCCCATGAGTAATGTGAACGAACCAAACACGAGACAAGCGTCCTCTACATCGTCTGAGACAATATTCACCTTCTGTGTTGTTCCTGACGGCAACAGCAACACAGCGGCCTGCGCCTGTTTGCGAAGAGAGAGGATACCAACCGTCCAACCGGGCCTGGCTACGTGTTAGGTCTTGTCTGTCGGGAGTGGGGCTTCTACAGCGATCATGTCCCAAGTAGTCTTTCACAGTACTAGACACAGCGATACTCCACGACAGCAGTGCAGCAGCATTCCGTTTACTGAAGGCCACACGACAGCGTGCAAGACTGCAGTGCTTCGTTCTACAACAAATGAGCCACCCCGATAGGTGTCAGCCCCTTATTCCAAAGCAAAAACCAAACATGTGGGTCTCTAGCCCTGGCACACTGCTTCACTCTAATGCAGTCATACAACACTCAACACGTGACACCCTTTTTAACCTCGCCCCTGCAATCGTTGGGACCATCCAAGTCGCCATCTCTACACGGGCACTTACCATATTGACTGCGACCTACGTGAGCGCTGCTTGTTGTGTCGACGAGACGACAATCCAGGCAAGGCATGAGTCTCCGGCAAACGCACATGTCCAACGTCCATTTTTTTTTGGCATCCTTGCCGACCGACGCGACATGGCCGCTTGTGGTCGCTCGCGGGTGCAGCATACAGCACGTCACGCACTCTGAAAGCAAAAAAACGTCGGCAGGAAATGCAAAACAAGGAGACAGGGGACAGGGTCAAGGGCGTTTCGGGCTTTCTGTTGCAGCGCACGCGACGAAAAGAACGCACACGCGAACTTGGCTTCAATCGTCGAAACCGTTTGAACCATACGACCCATGGACGCCATAGACTTCAAACGTACAGTAAAGAAGCGGCGGCAAGCGCAAAGTTTCGGGACGTGTGGAGGGGAGCTTCCGGCACACTACACGAATGAACTCACCGAACAACAAACCTACTTGAGACTGAAAGTAGAGAAGAGCGGCAGACGGACGCGTGTCACAGGTGGAAAGATCGAACGACTGGCGTGTGGTCGGACCACTGTGACTACCGTACGAGCATCCCGGATCGCGCCTATGGAGTTCTCGAGAGAATCAACGCAAAGATGGGGATGCACTCCATACGACAAGTTGTTCATGAGCATGATTCAGCGGACGGTGTTGTCCATCTCCTTCTGCCGTAGTTGTGCAAACAAGAAATTCAATCAGTCCGAGAACGAGTTAATGTGTCGCAGAGCTCACAGAAACGGGAGGAAGCACGTTTCCCTCGAATTGATCCACCACGTTTCCTGGAGTGAAGAACTTGGCGACGACGTACGATACCCAGTACTTTCCGTACTGGTCGACAGCGCTCCCGAAGCCGAAGCCGACATGGGTCGTTCTTCTCCAAACGTTTTGCGTGAAGTGGCGCGTCGCAGGGGAGAATGCTGGATTTTCGTAGTCGTACAGCGTGCCTTCTTGCTGCGAGGGGTGGAAGGCGCAACAGCCGGCAGTTGGTATGGATGGGTGTGATGGTCGTTGATGCACGTGGTCGTTGATAAATGTGCGAGGAAGGGTTTAGGAGACGTCACCGAGGTGCGGGTCATTAGACTCCAGCGGTGGAGAAAGCAAGCGCGATAGTAGCTGTACATTTTCTGGTCTACAAATCGGAGGGAACGTGCACAGCAAAAAAAGAAAGGTGTTATTTAGGTTGACCACCCAACCTTTATAAGATCTCTGAAAAAACTGCGGCCAGGCTATGTACAACGACTTGGTTGGGCAATCAGTTCACAGACCACCAAAAAGTAAAATGCTTACGACTCAAAATAGGTTCAAGTGCGGAGGAACACAAAATCTGGGGTGGAACACACAGGGCGAGCAATGGTCTACCGGCCGTTAAAAAAAATACCGATAGCTTGGTGTGAACGGTCGCTCCATAGCCTAGACGACTTTAGTAAACGATCTTCCTCCACACGAGTAGACCGACAGGTTGCCCAAGTGGTCCGAGTCAAGACATGTGAATGGGTACCCTCCTGCTGTCACAAGGGGTCGTGCCGCTAGTTGCCCACGTTTCCCACCCTGGTGCTGTTCCTTTTTTTTTTAACTTCTCACTCTCCTGGATTCTCCAAAGCCTGTGGCTGTACACAACCGACATGGAATTCACCTTCATAGAATATAGAATATTAATACTAGTCTAATTTTATTTTGAGGTGTGATGCCAGTGAACAACTTCCCATGGTAGACTACTCGGTACGCGTTCGATGTAATACACAAGCAAGCGCGACACAACGGCACCGGGCAAGACACGCCGCAAGCCACCGAGTACCTGCCACAAGTTGATGGCGTTGATGCATTCGGTAGTTGCGTCGTAGTTGGTGTCCGTCACTGCCAAGCTCTCCCCGAAGCGTCCGCCGTCTTGTTCGTGTATGACGTAGCCGCGGTTCGCCCAGTTCTGCGCAGCCGTGGCGCAGGTCGCATCCCACTGAAGATCTGCAGCCCCGTGCCGGCGTCGATGGGTGTTGATGGTGTCTAGTATCTTCTGGGTGTCCATCTTGAGAGACGATCTGGTGTGAGGCTTTCGGTGGTAGACTGCAGGTCTGTTGTGCGGAGTGGGAGCGTGGGTGGGTGCAAGCACTACTGCTGTCAGCGCGGAACAGCAGTCTGTCGGAGAAAACTCCGTGTGCGTGAGAACGGAATTTCTCAAGTTCGTGAACTGATGCAAGGGAGATAAAGCAACAAGCAAAGGGCGAACTGAAGTTGTTGGGGGTACATGCGGTTGGTTGATTTCCACACGCGGACCCTCAGAGAAGGGCGCAAAACACACGTGGGGAGTGCGAACGCCGTTGGAAAGTTCTCGGAAAGATCGGAACTTCGTTTGTATCACGATCTGGCATGAGAACGAACGCTTGCACAATGGGCGGATGTCGCATATGATAGCAGAGCGATCTTCTTCGCTACCCGGCACCCTTGCCGTACCGCTGTGGCAGAGCAGCAAGGCAGCAACTCCTGCATGTTACATGAAATACCAGGTATTGTTTCTCCGCAAAATTTCATCTGCCTGCGTTGCATTCTGAAGCACACAAAATAATCCGTATGCACGTACATATACCTTAGGCTTGTGGTTGAGCTGCCTGCTAGAATAACGAGGCGGTGTGCTATTCAAGACGTGTCCAGCGTGTATCTGCACGGGCACATTTACACACCTGAGCTTCTTGTGTGGGAGGCTGGACCCCCCGGCTTCCGTATGATGCTAACGAGCAATGTGAAACTTGCGTTGCCTGCCGTGGCGCAAGCAGCCCAGGTGTATGTAGCTCCAGAGCGATGATAGATAGAAAGATACAGGTCGAAATGATCCTCCCCCACGACTCACGATCACCACACCGGAGAAAAGAGGGAGGGAGGTCGTCGTGCTGTGGGTGTTGGTTGCTCTGTGGTGAGGGGAGAGGTAGAGAAAGGGGAGTGTGTGTGGAGCTTGTTGCACAATCTCTCGTCATCCCGCATTCCTACATCCGACTCTCCCAATCATGTAGTTACCCCGATACCCCGTTGCTCGATCCAGAAAAATGAAAAATATCTCGTGTCGACACAACAGATCAGACGGCACGCGCACATAGATAGAGTGCACCGTGCAGCGGACCACATTCAAGACAGACGCTGCTGCATAGGGTGAGACAGATAATTTCCGGCCACACTTCGCGCGCTTGAGAGTGTTCTGCGATTTGTTTAGGCAAGCGCTAGCTCACACCTCGTTCCGCAACAAGATTCGCTCGCAAGTGATGCAGGATAGCTCCGGAAAAATTCTGCTCCCAACGAAAAAAAAAAAGTTCTTCGCGTTGGTTCGCGTGAACGAACCGGCACAAACCGCCTGCTGAAGCTACAGTATTGCATACGTACTTCCTTGCGTCCACCATTCCCCATCATTTCAATTTCAATCCCCCGTCCGGTCGTTCTTGTTCAGTATCCCATGGCTGTGTTGGCGGAACATGCGCCGACGGTCTTCTTTACCCTCCTTCTTCTGCCTCTCCAACCCTCGCTCCTTGTCTTTTTCGGATATACAGTTGTCGTTTTCGGATACATAGTTTTCGTTCTTTGGTCGAGAGAGCCGAGAAATCCTTCAGTCGAACCTTATGTCGAAGGAGCAACAGATATGCGTAGCAGCTGGCGAAAAAGGATGGGAATAGCTCTGGAGATTCTTTGGGTTCCGACCGTCAGTCTCATGGCGGCAGCAAGCGGAGGAACGGAGGATGGAGAGGAGAAGAAACTGCTCCTGCTATGGCGGCGTTGGCAGCAGCAGCCCCGGCCTCGTGGGCGGGTAGGCTTGGGGTGTGTAGGTGCAAACTTTGAGGTTGAGCCGCAAAACTACACCCCCCATCAACAGCTGCAATCACGATGCAGATTGCGACGTACGTTGCCTCATTGTCATTGCCCATCCGCGTAGAATAGTGCTACTCGCCGCTGCCGCTGCCGCTGCTGCTGCTGCTGCTGCTGCTGCTGCTGCTGCTGCTGCTGCTACTTGTCACTCAAAGGGGCAGTCTTACTTAAAATTTGTTCCGAATCTGCGTCCTCACACGCAGCACGGTTGTTGTACCTGCCGTTTGTACCTCATCCGTGCACCCTCGAAGCTAACAGCAGTAGACCACCATACGGGTTGTTGTGCCACGGGTTGTTGCACAAATATCCAGTAGTGCGCAAACACGTGTTGTAGAAAGATCCTCATTTCACTATTCTTCCTGATGGCCCACCTAGGAGAGCAGGGCCACAGCGAAAACGTATACGTACTGTAGATTGATCGACAACATGAAGAAGCGAGTGATGAAGTTCCGATTGCGCAGTACAGTGTAGCAGCGAGCCGCCGCCATAGGATCCGCATCCGCTTACGAATAGGTTCCACGTCAAGGAGGGGTTATTCCCCGTCCTGTGCCGACCCGCGATGGGTATTTCCCCATTGTTATCGATCGCTATATGCTACAGCAGTAGTCTATAGTTAGTTCTGAAGGCATGCCAACATGTCGAGGCTAGGACAGCTAGCTGAAGTATTAGAATACCAGCTGTTTTTGTGACATCTTCCATGTTCTCTACTGCTGTATCTAGACAGGGTGTTTGGCTTTATCGACTATTTTGCCCCGGCGCTATGTCCTGTATGTAGTCGCGAAAGAGGCACAGAGCCTGGACGTCGAGCTGGTTGCTCTTCTTTGACATGGCCGTCCTGGCGAACAAGCTGTTGGCGGCAACCCAGGGCAATCAGTCATAGAGTGTTCGTCCGTCCGTCTGGTACATGTATAGGTAGGTTATACCTTATAGGGCATTTAGGTTTGCGTATAATATAGAGGGGATGATATCGGCTGTGGCGGGAAGAATCTTCCCCGACTTCGTGTCAGCCATCATTAAATTAACATTCGACTTATGATGCAGAGACGGCATGTACGTTTGTATCCTTTTTTATGATTGGTCTTCTTGTTGACGGGGGTGCGGGGGCGGGGAGGACGGTCCTCACGAAACCCGGATGCATGTCGAGGTAGTACGTGGTTGTTGCGCCGGCAGCCGCACCCACCCCAACATAGAGCCCCAGGAAGAAGGTGGAAAATATTGACTTGGTCGGCATGTCGATACTATATAGGCATTACCGTACGCACACCCAGCCCGAGAGCGATCCATCGCCCGAATGCATACCATTTTCGGTTTTGTGCTAAGCTTGCAGGAGGAGGGGAGGCTCGGCTGTATACTGGGCGCCTCTTCGCTAGACCGAATAATGTGGTATGGGCGTTACTACGGTACAGGGGGGGTGAGCGCGTGATTTTTCAAACGAGAACCAGAGCAACTAGCTGATGTCAGGGCATACTACTAATAGATAGTTCGAACGCCGGTGACACGGACACAGGTAGATACTACGGTTGCGTGATGGTTTGATGCCAAAACATTTGAAAGCGGTCGGGGACCACGTTTTCGGAGATAGATGGATCGATGGATGGATGGATGCGGCAGAACGCCGCAGAGATTGGGTGTGGGAGAGTTGCGCGCCGTGTTGTTCTGGCCGGTTTGCTAAAAGCTATCCAGAACGAAAACGGAATATTCAAGGTTTGGTGGTGTTTGTGTCGGCTACGTTGTATGTAGTGAAGAGAAGCTGTCTGTATGTTTACATCGCGGAATTGTGTAGCCACATAAGTGTGTCAAAACACGCGCCGAGCGCTTCATCGTGGCGGTAAACTCTTGGGGAGGTAGGAAAATAACTGACTGCTTCCTTCCCCGGTTTTTTGCCATCCCGTGAACTTTCGATATTTTGGTGTTGACTGTTTGCCGCCCATTTTCGGCAGTCAGGAGCTCGTGTTGGTTCGTCAAGAACGAAAACACCAACCACAGGGCAAGAGAAAAACACGGAGGAACTCATAGTACAGTGCTGCGTGGAAACAGGACAGAAATGGACGCGAAAGGTGGGGGGGGAACAAGATGTTTGGTCGGGAGAGCGGATTTCATCAACCCATCTGACCATCTGAGCCATTCCGTTTCATCTCTGCGCTGCTTGGTGGATGTATCGTTTGAAAAAGGCGCAATATCCATCCAGCGTTTCGGATCGCGAGAGATGACGAGGACAACCTCGGAACATGTTGAATAAAAAAAAAAGATGAAAAATCTTATATTTGGTATTTTTTCATTCTCGTCCCGGTGCACGCCAATCTTTCATTTCTCTTCCCTCATCACATAGTACGCACTACCAAGTATCACCGAAGCCGAGCAAACGAAACAATAGCGGAAAAGTAGGGTAGGTAACTATACGCTCTTTTCCCTCGCTTCTCTCATGCATTTCCAACCTCAACTCTTCCACACACCAAAATATGTAACACATCTACACTACAAACAACACGCACCCCCCCTATTCTCTCAAGCCAGTCGCTGCCAATGTGTTATGTGTATCCAAGAAGACTATCGGCCAACGTGTTTTGTGTATCCAAGAAGACTATCGTCAAAAGGCTATCGTAGATATTTTGCCCTGCCATGATGGGGCACATTCCGACCTACTCTACCGTACCGAGAACTGCTGCGCCCTCGGACGCCAACCCGTCAGCTAAAACCGTCAAACGCAACACGAGAAGTCCACGGAAGGCCGCAAAAAAAATCAGTCGCCCTACCTACTCGTTTGGTAGGTAGTTAGGTAGATAGGACAGTCCAAATCGATCAATCCATCAATTCGAAAACAACGCCATGTATCGACCTTTTCACCAAACCTTGGGGAGGTGGGGGGTAGCAGAAACAACATCCGATCGCCAACAAGTACAAAAAATGGCGTACACCCATCACACCAGACATTCTATGTCATCACACCAGAAAGCCATACCAACACATAAGCTTTTTACCATCACACCATATGAGCGACACGCGTTCGGTTGCCTTGGTGAAATGCTCGCCCCATAGGACGGCTCGATTTGTAACTGCCGAGAAGGGTAGAGAAGACTTATCTTATCGCTGAATAACACGTCAAGTTGCCCGATGATAAGAGAACACGGTGCACGCCAAAAAAAAAAAAGTTTTCCCCGCGACACTAGAAAAAGGTACCGCCAAGCAGCACCCAGCCATGATGGGGTGTCTCAACCTCGCCTGCGGTATACAACATATATGCATAGAGCAAAACTGGAAAAGCTACAGCAAGACAACTACCTCGGGAAAGTATGCTCAGCAGGGGCCGGGGACCTCTATTTAAGTTAGGTCTCTTCGCGGCGGCATCGCATCCGCACCATCCACTTAAAAGTCTACGTACGTAAACACCACTCGTATTAAAAAAACGCATCGGGCATGTATGTGGAGTGACGTCCAAGGCAACAAAAATATACCTCCCATGTAACCACTTAAAACAAGACAAAGGTCAAGAATTTTCTCGCCTACCCCGGTGGCACCTATCGTACCTCGAAGCGTATGATCTGATCAACAGAGCCTCCCATCCCCTCCACCAACCTATGCATAGCGAGCCTCAACGCCCAACAAAACAGTACCGTACTATGTACTTCCTTCGTCGCGATCTACACAGAACGAATTCGGGGGACCCTACGAAGACGGCCGGCCGCGGCGGGGGAAGACCTCCACAAGACTCCAGTCACCATCTTCCTTGAATGCATAATATCTCCTCTTGACAACATTGTACCACACGGTCGAAACTAGGACAGCAGTCGGAACAACAACCGGTGGCGTCTGCCTCGTTTTTTTTTTTTTCGTGTATGAATCCGTCAAACGACCCTTGAGGCCGCCACAGGACATACTTACCGCGACTAAAAAGAAAAGAAAAACTAAAACACGATCAACACGATTAATCCATCACGGAAAAGCAGCAGCGCTTCACGTAGCAAGGGCCGTCAAGTCGTAGCACTGTTTGGCGATGACGATGGTCGCTAGCGGCGCAGGCTGGCGATGGTGTTGTTGTAGGCAGGAACAGACCTGTGATGGTTAACCAGCGGAGGGCGAGGAAGGTTGGGGGGCCATAAAAACTACCATCAGTCAACAACAACGGGAAAATAGTGGTAAATGACGGATGAACGGAGAGGCGCGGCCCAAACATGTAGCCACGCCGTTGGCCTAGGAGCGGCGAAATGTTTTTACGTAGCTAAAAATCTAAGAAACGGCAACCGACAAACTTCGTTGACAGAAAACAGAGGAAGGCGAAGAAAAAAACGTGTGGCCTTCGTCCTCTCCGTGCCACTGTGTTAACAGTGTTAACGTATTTGTCGGAGAGATGACACCGGGGTGCGCCAAAACAAATGCAAGGACGGCAGGATTTTTTTATTCGATTTTCGCACCGGGGACGGTGAGATCGCATCGGGTGCCATCTCTCCAATCTCTCCCAACACCAGAATTCAAGATTGAGCTCCTTTTCAGCTGAGGGAATGAGGCATCATATATATGTGCGTGCCTTAAACATGTGGAGACGGACCGCGTCAGCGGAGAGCCATTCCTCTATGTACTACATCATGGTCACGGTTCACGCGGGATGTCTCGAGTATTTGTATCCTTACAGCAGTAGAGGAAGATCAGAGGAAGATCGAAACGAAAGCGGGAGACGACCTGATACCGTATGCGCCGGTACCCCAGATGGAAACAACACCGTTTGTTGTCCTTGTCACGCCATAGCCAACCTCGCATTACAACACACGACACGCAAGATTGTTTTGCGCCATAGTTCGCCGCCTTTCAGAGGCTCAGATATGCGTGTGCCGTGCAAAGACCGTGTGTGTGCGTAGGCATGCCTACACCGCACATCGTCTGCTGTAGATTCTGTACCTGCACTGGTGGTGCCAATACTATGGTACCGATCGGAGATGAGATCGGGGTGCGTGCATACATGTGCAACAACTACCTGTGAATATATTCATCGGGGATCGCACCGGTCGGAGAGATCGCACCGGGGTGCCATGCAAAAGCTAAACGAAATGATTTTAGTTGCATTTCCGCACCGGGGTCGGAGAGATGACACCCGTCAGAGCGATGGCACCGGGGTAAACTCCGATAAGAGAAACGGAGGAAAAAACACCAACAACAACGATCGCACCCCGTGCCATAACTCCGCCTTTTACAGTGCATACCCCGGGTGATCCGGCGTCCAGAAAAATAAATAGTTAACAGTGTAGAATAGTCCGAACGTTGAAATAATGGACGTCCACCAATGAGGGGACGACACTATCATATGGATTGAAAAAAATGTCAAGATGCACGTGTGCATCTAAGAGCCAACAACAGCCGTCGGGTTGGGTTGCAGAATACTTGTAGATGGCAAGTCTTGTAGACATGGTTGCTAGCTGATTGACACTATTCCGCTCGTTCGGTTTTCGGAGCAGAGCGGGCGGGGGAGAAAGGAGAGAGAAAAGGGGCGAGGGCGAAGTGCTACAGAACGACATCACTAAATTATTTGTAGAACGGCAAATCACCAGGCAGGCTGGAAATTGTTTCTCGTGCAACGGCTATACAAAACATCACGCAACTGCGAAACGGGAGCAAAAATCCATCAACGGATTTCGTCGAATCCCGGAAAAGCAGCAACTCATTCGAACATACTCCGTAATGCTGTATCTGGTGCTGACATATTGATTTGAACAGCAACCAGCTTTACGTGGCATATGGGGATACAACAAATCCTTGTGCGACCACAACATAACATGCACCATTTGTATCCTCCTTCACATAATTTGTCAAGAGGCGAGACAGGAGAAAGACGCATGGATCACACAAAAATATCTGAGTGCCTCGATGGGAGCCGGATGGGTGGCTGTGCAGTCTGTTACAAACCGGCATTCGACAATAATATTCGAGGGACAAGATGATAGCGGCACATCGATCGGCGTTTTACGCGCGCCCGCAAACGAGAACATTCCTTGCGCTATACATTATTTTATATTATATGCATATGCAGTACAATCGCAGAAAGTGCCCCTCGGGTGGTTGCGGTGGAAAATGCCGAAAAAAGGCCGCCATACGTTTGTTTTCGGGAACGACAGAAGAAGAGCTCTCCACCTACGTACATGTAGGCACGCAACTAACTACACTGCTGTGGTGGCCGCATGTGTGTAGACTACGGATGTACTCTGTAGGAAGGATGGAGATTCTGCGCGCCCGGGTGTGTGTGTGTGTGTATTCGGGATGGCTGGTGGCTGGTGGCCGTAGAGATCAAAGCGGGACGAGTGAGTGCATTGCAACTTCAACTCCAGCCAACAACCAGCGAAAAAACACACTTATGTGATACGCAGCAGTCTTTGTCCACACTGCTGGTGCAATGTTGCTGCTACACTTGCAGCGCGAGTATGCACGGAGCCACCGAGCCCATAGGCACGCGTCGTTCTCACGAGTCTGTCTCTTCCGACGCTGAGGGGAGACAGCGAAAGCGGGTGGGGGTATTTGCGTGGTTGTCCACTTGTCCACGCAGCAACCATGACGTACGCGGTCAAGCAGTTGCAAACACACACGCCCGAAATCAACACCTTCAACAGGGACCGCCTCCGCCACGCCGCAGTGCATTGAGCTACCACTGGTATAGAATAAAGAACGGCAGCTGTGTTCACTGGCACGTGTACTGAGAAGGTCGGCCATACGGGCGATCTGCGTCACCAGCAATCGGCCCTCGCACGCAAGGCCATGGTTGTCCGTTTTGAACGATACTGATCCCGCCGCAAACCTGGCAAGTAGCTTCAACCTCAAAGCACGCTTTCCGTGCACCACACGCGTCTCGCTCTTAGCTGCCGCTGCTGCCCACTACAACCCTGCTCATCTCAAAGGTTGGCTCTGCTACTCTCAGTGGTTGTTTGCGCGACAGGAGGCAGCGTGGCCGAGAGTTGGCGAGGTTGGAGATTTCTCCCACAAGATCTGTACATGTACACAAAACGTGCATGTTGAAACGCACGCACGCGCATCTTTTTCGGCCGCGCGAGAGAAATCGTGCTCTACAATTGAATCTCGGGGCATGGCTGGCTCGGAGAGATACACGCAGGCGTGGCAGTGGTACCTAGCGGCAAAGCTAGGGGCGGGGGGGGGGGGCATGGCTACCGACTTGCTGATTGTGAGTCACCTCTCTTTGGCAGCAACGTTTGTCCACAGGGAGGGGCGGTGGGTGAAGCTGCTGAAGATCTTGCTGATGTGCGTGAATATGTTGCCCTGCTGCTGCTGCTGGCTGGCGCTCGAGGAAACCGGCATGGTGAATGTAGAGAGGAGAGCGGGTAGAAGCAGAGGGAGGAGTTGGCTAGTCGGGAGGGTGCGGGCGGTTTGTGTGGCGGAGGGGGGGGCGAGTGCGTGTGGGTTGAAGGATCTGCTGGAACTTGTTTCGGACTTCGGACCATATGCGTAGAAAAAAAAAAGTAATTTGCGGTACGTACCGGTTCGCGCTTCCTCCGAAGGGTGCAACTGCAACGTAACCGTGTGTGCGTGTGGGCGTGCTTGGATCGGATGTCGTGATGCGTGGTGTGCGTCATTTATACGTGAAGATTTGCAGGCCACATGGCATATAACCCTTGGCTGTTGATGAGGATTCGATCTATCAAACCTTGGCGGAGGCCTGCTTCTAGCTTTTCATCTTAAGATAGAAGGGGCCTAGCCCAGGGGAGCGCACTCCACACACACGTACGTACGTACGTACTCTGTGAGTAAAGATCTCTCTACTACACTGTACGGATATACTGCTGTAAGTAGAAAACATACCAGCAAAAAGTGTCATGTAAATCACATATTGCCGTCCGGCCACAAGTATACGGGGCTACCTTCATGCGTACATGTAGCTCGTGGCCCGGCCAGCACGGCACTTACAGGGACGAACCTGAGAGACAAGATTCTACATGTGTACAGCAATCGTACACGGAAAAAAAAAAACTGGCAACTCTTCCGTGCCCCCCCCGGGCGCGGCCAATGCGGTGGAACCATGATGCATTTTTTTGCTTCTGGCCCTTGCCCTGCATTGCCTGGGCGCTGGGCAAGCATCAACCAAGTAGGGCTTGCTTGGGTGAGGTGGACGGTATGGTGCTCTGGGTGCCGGTTTTCGTGGCGGCGGCAGTGTCTGTGTGTGTCGGTGTCATGTTCCCTCGAGCACCAACATGGCAGGTATGCATATGTATGTGATGCATTGTTACATTGTTACAGCGTGGGAGTCGTACAGCAGTAGACAGAAGTGACTGCAGGTGCTGTACACCATCTTGCAGCGTACACGTGTTGCTTACGATATCTTGTACATACCTACACATTAGCCTTCGACAGCCAATGCATCTATTGTAGCAGGGACTTTGAATGACTTGTAGTCGATCAGCACTGCTGTACCCAGCACTGCTGCACTGAACGGCGATACAGGGCTACAGCAATAGGTTCCCTATAGTCGGAGATCTTGATGCTTCGCGCATTGCCACGTGGGCGTCGACAAGCATGCACACGGGACCTCTACCGCCCACCCTGACTTTCGAACCAGCTCACCGGTGACGAAACTGCCACCCATTACCAGCATGCACACCTGTGCAGTGTGTAGTCGGTCCATCACCCGGTGACCGCCGAATTGTAGGTTGCGTAAGATACCACACCCCTGGACCGATTTTCGAAGGTTGAATACTCGACAGTACATGGTGACGGGGCCGATAGTCATGGAGTTAGAAACTTGGAAGCCTGTTGCGAGCTGATCGAACACGCATAATCGACTGTGGCATCCTCTTGGTCATGAAATACTCGAGCTATGAAAATCGGTGCAGGGGGTGTGGTATGCAACCTACGGCAGTCTGTGGGACAAATTTCAAATCGGGTGCAAGCCCTCGGTAACAAGTAGATACATGCTGAAGCTCTCCCGGATGATGCATTGCCGAGAAGCGACCAACTTCTCTCGCGTGTTGATGGTCTCGTGCTGGGTGCAGACAAACAGCTATAGTCAATGCACGGTTTGGTTACATCAGCAGAGCGAAAGAGCTCATTCGCTGCTGCTGTACTATGTACTGTATTGCTGGCGTACAAAACATAGATTGGTATGATACAACAATGCCACTACATACAATACAACACAGATAGAGCCTGCACTTACGAAGTTGGAACTTCATGCTCAGGATTATGACACACAAGTCTTGATCTGTGAGCCCGGTTAAAAACCCGGACTAATATTACTAGTATTACACACTACTATATATACAACCTAAATACATGTAGCGAACGACCAATTGTAGCCCACAAGAGCAAACGAGAACCCCAGTTCCTCGGCCAACACTAGATAACACTAGGTAGAGGTGCTCAAGTGCGGGCGCTGTCTGTATAACAACATTGCAACAGCAGTATGGTAGGTACTCTAACAGTAGTGTTATCAGCATTTCGCGTACCCGGGCACGCTAACGTGTCCAGCGCCAAATATTGGCGGCATTGAACCAGACACATCTTTCTGCTGCTTGCTCCGTACGGTAGTTTCTACTCGGACATCAATGAGAGCCACGGGCAGGTGCAAGTCACAAGCTGCACCCTCACCGCTACCACCCTACAACACACACACGTGCTGTGCTGGGCGCGGTCTGCTTGCTGTTGAGGTGGCGGCTTCGGCAAGGGTGGCCTGTAATATCGCACCCCTGACATACATTCCTGCATGTTGGCTTGCCCTTTCGAGCTACGACACCTCGGTACTGTTACGTAGGCGGCCATCCGTATGTTTCTCGCACGATCCCTCAAGATTTGAGGAAGAGTTCAACACAACCACGAACGCCTTTTGTTTAGAACTCCCTCCTTTCATAGCGTGCATGTAGCGTACATGGCTCTCTCGGCGCGTCGTGATGTGTGTCTAGTGCCGCTATTATGAACCTGCTCTTTCCTCGGGTATTGGACCGCGCTCATGATGTGCAGAAATGGGCATGAGGGCGGCGTTTGTTAGTAGTTGTATACATACATGTATTCTACCCCCTTGGACATTATCTGAACTTGTGACAAGGTGAGTCGATCACATTCGATAGTTGCAGTCTATGTTGCGGTGTGCGCGTTGCTGCTACTGGACATGCAAATCGTCTGGTGGTTGTTGAAACCCCAACTGAATCAATTAATAGCAGTATTTTCTCAATTTCCGCGTGCTTACTTCAATGCATCACCAACACAACATTCCATTCTTTGAGCTGCTCGGTTTTCCGCCTGTACTTCTGCCTAGTTTCGGTGGCCTGAGGAACAGCGAAAAGGAACACCACGTACATTTCTCAACCACAGCCCGCTACTCAGCATGTTGGGTCTCTAACCGCCTCCGCGTTCCTTCAACCTGTGGCGGCCACCTTCATCGAGCACAGACATCCCGGTTCCTCCTATGTGCGTCAACATCGACTGCTTCGTTGCTTGTGTGCAATTGCCATGCGTCGGCCGTGTCGTGTCGCAGATCGTGGACATGAAGTACAGAGGCCTGTCCATGAATATTGCGAGCATTGGGGTTGACATGAAGATCGACATGGGCCTAGAAGTTTTTGTGAGTCACCCTGTTGTGGCAACAGTCGAGGGAGCCCTTCTTCATCGTCTTTTCACGCTTGTACCATTTGGCTCGCAGGAAATATGAATTAAACCGCAGGGGTACAATACGACGATCCGTGGTATGACATTCCACACAACAACCTATATTCGTTACAGGCCGTTCGTGCGTCCGGGTGTATGCCATTGGTGTCGATTTATTTCATAGCGTCACGAAGTAGGCGCTCGGAAGTATACATGTATGAGCTGCAACAATGTTGTGTTTCTAGGTAAAGTCGCATTGCCAAAAGGTAGCACACCTCGACTGGCATCAGCGAACCGTGAACGTGGTACCCAACTTGCCGAACGACAACTGCTGTGCCGGCCACAACACTCCCCTGCCTTCTGTGTTCTTTGCAGAACCCCAACTACGTCCCTGCAACGCTGAAAGGCATCGTGATGACCATGTTCCACGAAGACCTTGGGGGGGAGGAGGCGCCATTCGGGGTGGTAACCTTCGCCGGCGAAAATGCGGCGAGACTACCCGCGCGGGGTTCCGCGGTAGTGCAGGCACAGGTACTATTATTACGTATTCACCGCAGCTGTGACCCTCCTGGCCTTGAACGGTACTCCCACGAGCGCGGTTTCCGACTTTTTTTTTTTTTTCATGCACGAACCCCAACCCGAGCCTTCGCCGCTACGATAATTGATTGCCTCCCCCTGTTCTGTTTCGCGTGCTGTTCTGTGTCAACTTGTCTACATACTTTTGTATCTCTGGACTGTATTAGGACGGAAGCAGAGAGCAACGAAAATGAGGATGCTGTCGAGAAGCGTTGTCGTAAAGTGCCACTCAACACCCTGCACCGTCAAGCCTGCGCATGTGGTAGCCTTTGTCGATCTCCTTACTCCCTATCTCTCTGTCTAGTCCAGCTGCTGGTGATGTTGAGGTTGGTGTAATTCAGTAACGTCGGAGAGCACGGCCACTATTTTTGACGTATTTTCGTGCGGTTGGAGAACACGAACTGCTCCACCACATAACAAGCCAGGGGTTCACAGATCCAGGATTAACAAATTATAGCAACGTTGACTACAAGAACAGGTGCTCAGTTCACTGTCCCTCACCGCTGTAGTATATTGCCAAGTAGCTGGTTGGGTTGCCCGGCGGAGAGGACAAGAAGCAAGCCTTTTCGCGAAAGAAGAGGTTCTTGAATGGTGGCGAGTGCTGCATGACGATCCACGTACTGGTAGCCCTTCTCGATTCCCCTCTCTCGTCCTCATCTTACGACCGAACCTCGTCTTCGTTCATATTTTCTGTCCTGTTTTGTTCTGTCTTGTAGATGGAAGTCGTGTCGCTACCGACGAGCATGGCGATGGGCATTGCGAAGGATGTTGCTGACGGAGGCGTCATTGTCAGCCGGGCGTCGGCCTTCATGGACGTCAAGGTTATGGGAGGGTGAGAGCAAACGAGAGAGGTTCAGATACAGTACTGGACCCTGCACTGTGCCGGTGGAGTAGTGCAGGTGCCCGGTATTGTGTCGGTACTTCGGCTCGCACGCTGTACTTGTACACTGATATACCAACTTGTTCTGGTACTTTGAATAGTGCCGGTATCCGGTATAGTGCCGGCAATATCTCGGGACAGATACTGGCACTGAACAGGGACTTCTCCTGTAGTTGTACACGCCCCTTTGTGGGGTAGATTCGAGGGGTGATCATTTGTAGTTGGCGACTTCACACGTTGCTCGTGGGACCGAAGTCTTCGAGCTTTTCTTCTTGTTATCGGAGCTTGAGTTATTTTCTTCCTTTTGGTGTTAATTTTCAACGATTAGAACCAGATAAGCCTCCTTCTCCTGTACTTGGACTAGCGCCTATTCGCGCAATCTGATAGGTCGTGTTTTCATGTTATTGGTTCTCTTTGAAGGGAATTGAACCTGGCGGCAGAAACGCTCTCAATTTGACTGCTTTCAGCAACCGAGTTCCGAGAACGACTTGAGGAGAGACAATTATGGCACCTCTTTGAAAGAACGTGTGACAAACTGAATTGTGACCTTCGCCGTTCGCCATTGTTCCGCTTCTGTTTTCAATCGTTTACACTCGAATCGTTTCGACTCTGCTGTGACAGGGATATCTTAATCGAGGCGGACTGCGTGCAACACATGCAGGCAGACGTGTTTCCCATCAAGATCAACGAGATAGACTGCAAATACTACTACAAGAACGTTCGGGTGCCGGTGCTGCCTCCATAGCGGCGCATCACCATGTGATCATGTCCGGGAGGAGCAACGAGAGTCCTGGCAAGGTCCTCACTTCCTGACAAGGAGATGCGGGGTTCGGTATCAAGATGTCAAGAGGTCGCTTCCCTTCGCCTCCGGGCAGTTGGATCGTTGTATCCCATCCCATCCCATGCAGGGTTCGGAAAAATCTCCTGGAGGTCTTTCCAGATTTTCGCTCACTGCATTGGCGGCCTTCGAATGGTTGAAAGATCACGCATGGAAGGGAACGTCCAAGTGAAGCCGGCGGGTGAGTTAGTTAGTTTTGCCATATCAGTGAGTGTACAGAACAGCTGGCGATGAGAGACGATTTTTTTGTGTGGTACAAGGAGTTCGTTGACGCTGACGTTTTTTTTTGGTTCTTACGTCTGCAGGGCGGGCATTCGAAGGGGTCGGGGAAAGGGTGGTAATTTCCACCATTCGGTGCCATGGACCCTTGTATCCTGCTGAGCCAGGGTGGGCCGTCCACCCCTGGTCGACCTTGTGCAGGGAAACAGGTATTGCACCTACAGGAGCCGTGTAGTACCGTGGCGTTGTTGTGTGCGGGGAGTTGCGTATAGGTAGTCCGCTGAATTGCGAGAACCGTTTTGGGGAAGATGTTAGCACACTGCTGTTTGGTTTCTTAGTATGGTGTTGGTGTGGGGGGGCGAGAAACATTTATTCGGGCGTGAAAGTTGTGATGTGAATTGCCTTGGCATCGATACATTGTGTTTTCTCGAGGTTGTTTGATGTTGCTGCGTTTGCCAGGCGCATGTCGCCAGCGTGTTATCTGTGGTTGGGCAGACGGAAGCGTGTAGTCCATCTATGTGCCCGGAGGTGCTTTGCAGCGCACCGATTGTTGTGCTTGAATGTATTCCTACCCTCGTCAGGCATTCAGGTGGGTGCGGATGGATGGGAATTCAAAATTTTATAGCTCTCGTCCACCCTCCATTGTACCACCTCCTCAATCCGAAAGATCAGAATGTTTGTTTCTAACGACGGTTTTACTACACTTACGATGAAGAGGTGTAGTAATGATGCTCCGCGAGGAAGTGTATTTTTTTTGTTCGCGCCACCCTCTCCCAGACTCGATATTTTAATACAATGAGGGTGTGTTGCCTTTTCCTCCTTCATTTCCTGGCCGACGAGGCTTTCTCTGGGGCCAGTCGACGCCAAACTCGAAGCGCACGCGTTTCCAAGCACAGCCGTTTTCTTGCCGCCCCCCAGTTGTTTCGAAGCACATGGTAGGGACAACTCCTCCGGGACCCCGAGATGTCGACGGGCTGGGGATTTATGTCATGCGCAGAGGATAAGAGAGAGGCTCTATACTTTCAAGCGCGGAGCACCACAGCAGCCGCCAAAGAAACGGTTGACCATGGCCTCTGTTTCTTCGCCCCCCTCCGCTGGGTTGTGGATACGCCGCCCTCGCGGGTGAAGTGTAACTGCCTCTTCACCGCACGTGAGATCTATTCTAAGGCTACGAACAGCGCCACGTTTTCATACACGCGAGAGCGACGCAGAAGAAACGTCTTGAACAACAAACCCGGCGCTCACGCGCAGGGAATCGCCCATTCAGACACGTAATAGTCACTCCCATGTTAGCCAGAGCATTCGTGTGTTTTATGCGGACGGTGGGGTGTCTTACTTTCTTTGTGCCGGACTCTTCAGTACTCTATGTAGAGTGACGCGGTTCGGCCTTGTGCGTGTGGCAAATGTGCTGGCATGTATTGTGATTTGTGTTGGGCTTTCTACAGTGCCAAAGAAACTTTGCGCCCCTCCTGGACGCAGCGTGTACAGTAGTGTAGCATGGTGCAAGCACGCACATAGGACTTTCGCTCGTGCACGACAACGCGCAGGAGTGGCGGTATTATTATTCTCAACTCAAAAAGAAGACTTGCCGGGATGAGAAGATTGACGAGCCTGTCTGTCCCTCCCTGCACAACGAGGTGCCGGCGAGACGGAGCTCAGAAAGCAACAATGGAAGGTACGTCAGCTCAGAACCACCGCAAAACAACCAGATGCCGTGGGCGCCTGGGCTGCGTTCAGAACATCATGCTGCAGCGCCAACGAACTGCTCGTGACTGACCCGCGTGGCAAAACCGGCGTTCATGAACAGAGAGAGAGAAAGAGAGAGAGAGAGAGAGAGAGAGAGAGAGAGAGAGAGAGAGAGAGAGAGAGAGAGAGAGAGAGAGAGAGAGAGAGAGAGAGAGAGAGAGAGAGAGAGAGAGAGAGAGAGAGAGAGAGAGAGAGAGAGAGAGAGAGAGAGAGAGAGAGAGAGAGAGAGAGAGAGAGAGAGAGAGAGAGAGAGAGAGAGAGAGAGAGAGAGAGAGAGAGAGAGAGAGAGAGAGGTCGGCAAGCCACCAACACGACACGGCGGGGCCTCATTTGGTACAGTATATGGACAACATGGACAACTTGGGTGCCGGGGGTCCCGCATACAGCGCGAACCGGCACCAAACCCGCCGCGATGTATGGTAACGGCCAGAGACATGCCGCCACGTGCGGGTGACTGGTGATGTGTGACAATTCCATGTGTTGTGTTGTCCCGCTCTGTGTTTGCGTTGACGGACACACAGGACGTTGTGCGCCGGGTAGAACAGCCCCGGCTCGGAGAAGAGCAATCTACGACGCCTCGTCATGTGTGCATTTGTCACGCAGTTCGTCGCAAGTTGCAAGTCCCTCTTCTCTGCCGACTGACACGAGCCCCTTGTGTATGTGGTGAGGTTCGGGTAGGGGTGGATACGGAGCCGCGCACCATCAGCAACACCCATCATGGGCTGTGTTCACAGCTCCAAGGTTCAAGGCGAAGGTCCTGGGCAAGATGTGAAAAAGGTACGCAACAAAGGATGGCAGTACGGCTCACCGGGATCTGCTTCATATTCACACAGCACAGTAGTCGACAACACGCCCGTCCTGGAAGCACAGCGGCAGTCCTATCCAAAGGGTCGTCTTTGTTTAGTGGTTCTGTTACTCCTAGGTGGTGCGTGGATGACATGTGACAGCCCAAATATGTTCTCGCCGTGGGTGCAAGATTGTTTCCTCACGTACATGCGACCGCGGCGGCCTGTCCACCACGACTCTAACTGCTCGAGTACTGTAGCACAACCATGCGCACCACACACCAGTCTGCTGCTGTACCAGGTGTCATCGACTTGTGCTATGTAGATTGCTGTACTACTGCACACAGGACTAGACTACCTATTGAGTATGGCAGAAGAAACCGTACGATGGGGTTTGTATGGTGTTTGGACTACGGCACACCCTTTCTTTCCCTTTCCGATATGGTGCATGATCAATGTTGGTTTACATTCACGAGGGTCGTGTATTTGACACTCAGCTGAATGCGTAGATATATTGAAGTCGGCCATGCACTATCACGTGTGTTCGATGACGCAGGCTGTCCTCCGTCATTAGCGTGATATGATACATCGATTCGCACGGTACCACAGCTCCGGAATGTGTTCCTACTGTTGTGAAGCAGGACAAAGATGCACCTGGCGTGGAGAATGTAGCGGCAGCATCGAACGACACCCTGGAGGCGCAGAGCACCGAAGGCGATCTGCACAAGAGAATGGTGTCTAGCAAGGCGGTCGAGGTATGTATGGCATATCTACCTTAATTTTCTACCCCGTCACTTACAGCAGTGGGAGCAATCCTGCTATCGTGAGCCCTTGGGACACCTCCATAATTCTCGCCGCACGCCTTAGCTCCATTCACTATCGTTTGTGTGAAGGTGATGTGGCCCTTGTTCCACTATAAAGTCGACAGGGTCGTTCTGGGTATCCTCCCTGGCTTAGCTTCGTTCTGCATCCAATGGGTATTTGCTCATGCTCTAGGTGTTATTCACAAAACATAGCCCTGGGAGCCAAAGTAGGTCCAGTTTGAGCAAGGTGACTGAGTCATGCTATACCCTGTTCTTGAGAGAGCTTTACACTGTTCGTGAGAGAGTGTAGCTCTATTTGGGGAGAGCACAAATTCTGCTGTGGCACATGCAAGACGTGCTTTGGTAGAATGCTGAAAAGCGCAAGCACGTAGAAAAATGAACAGAGGGACTAATGTTCACGTAGGATTGTTGCTGTTGCTGTCGTAGTTGCTGTCGTAGTTGTAGTTGTAGTTGTAGTTGTGTTGTTGTTGCTGCTAATGCTGCTACTGCTGCTGCTGCTGTTGTGTTGCTCAGGAGTACTCTCGTAACAACTCAACCGACACACCGAAAAATGCCTGATCAATAGCCCAGAGTATGCTGCTGCCGTCGCGGAGAAATAAACATATATCACAGCACTATTTTTTCAGGGTTTATTTTATGTAGCGTACGCGTAGCAGTCCTCGGACGTCGGGAACCAGAGAAGCTGACGCTAAAATGGGGACGTTTGCCCAGTAGCGAGCACTTCATACAACTGTCACGCTTAACAGATTCAAGGAGGTCAACAGCAAAAAAATCCGTTGTGTTTTTCCTCGTTCGACGTTGTCACATCCACTGCCTAGCCCTGAATGTATTGTGCCAAACCAGTAGCTCCGAAAGTAAGGAGTGCTTCTGGCAATGACGGTTGCCATGCCTTTGTTTCAACATGCACGACACAACGCAAACCCTTTATGGTAGATCGCAAACAGCGAAAACACTCCCAAACAGAATATCAGAGGTCAGCGCAGTTTCTACATTCGTAGGGAAACAAGTCGCACGTATGTACATCGTATGGCATAAATTCCATGTGTGTGCAACTACAGGTGATGAAGGTCAGGACTGACAATGGTGGAAGCTTCACAGTCCGATACGCCTTTGCATCGCAGCGAGGTTACTACCCTGACGGTAAGCAACCATCTATAGTTCAGGATGTCCCGACACAATTTTGTTGACCCTTCTAACCCTAACCCTCCTCAAGGGGTTTGATACGGTGTTGCGGCTCACGGGTTATGGCTGTGCATTGTGACGGATCGACCTGATGCGCACTGCTTCCATCACCGTCCTGACGGTACTGCAAGTCCCTGTAACTGGTGAACCCCCTTTGTTTGTTCTTGCTCGGCTTCCCTCGGTTATCTTCTCTCCATCTGCATTTTTTGAATCTGTCGTTCTTCTCGACTATCTACACGTGTCGTCTTCTACATCTTTCTCCCGCCCTCATTCGCCCCTGTATCAGCTGCGGTGCTTCACACAGACTCACCCTAGTGGTTTGTTGATCGACGCTCGCGCCCGTCTCTCTCCCTCTCTCCGTTTGGACGTTCGTCACTGATATCTGGGGTGAAAATAGAACCGAACAAAGCGAACCAGGACAGCTTCATCGTGGTCCCCAATTTCTGCCGCGACCCTGAGTCCCTTTTCTGCGGAGTGTTTGATGGGCACGGGGGGACGGGCGATCTTTGCTCAAACTTCACTGCTCAAAAGCTTCCCAAGGTCAGAATAACCCTCAACACCATCCAATTTGCGAAAAAACAGCGGTACACACCAAAATTCAAGAAAATCGGCATGAGGGTTGACCCGCCCTGAGGCCTGGGCTATCGTGATCGTGGTCCTAGTGTGTAGGCTTCCGGAAGAGTCGAGCGTACGGAACGCATCTATTCTCAGGTGCCACTTGGCTGTACAAGAAGTTCAAGACCCGCTGGAGAGAGCGTTCCAAATCAGTCGGCTGTGCTAAGCAGCGGAGTTTACCGGTCTTTTGGGCAAGAGACCAAGTAGCAATGTGTGCCACAGAACGAGAGCCGGGTGAGGTCTTTCAGAAACCCCTTTACATTAGGACATCCTTGAGGGAAGCTAATGCCGGAATTGCCGATGATGAGTGTAGCGTTAGGACCCTAAGCTGGTGGCAGTACGGTCTTAGCGGCATTTATTTCAACGAGGTCCAGGGCGCCCCTGAAGGGAGCGGGGCGACACCCACACAGCCTTCAGCGGAGATAGATGTCTTGCGAAAGGGCGCCTGCGGGATTGGACGTGAAGTGTTTGCTCGATTGACTTCAGCACCGTAACGTCGTTCCACGTAGCTTTTGCACGGGAAAGCCCTATCGTTCCCCAAGATGGTCAAGCGCTATCTCTGCCAATGTGATGTTCCGAACGTCAAAGCTGTCGCCGACCCGAACGTGTAGAGGGTTAAATATGATTGGGTCAAACTTGTATGTGGTTGTATGCGTCCATTGTCCCTGAACGCATCGTGCAGGAGCTCGAGAGTAGCCTCAAACTCCAAGGCAACTACTCATCACTGGACGAGGACGCGATCAAGGAGGCCAGCAAGAGGGCGCACGTATCGACCAACGAACAGCTGCACGCCACTGACTTCGACGACACGCTGTCCGGCACCACTGCCATATCAATACTGCTCAAGGTGAGCCGCACCACGAAATGTTGTTTTGTATTTTGGTTTCCAACCGCGGGAAGCGTTTGTTTGGCTTCTGTTGCTCGATATTTTGCGCTGCTGTGCAACAGTCTGCCTGTGTTGTCAAGTTATTGCGCAGCTTCCAACGCGATACCTCTCTCGGTCAGGATGCCGTACTATTGCGACCTCCTCGCCGCAGTTTGGTTTGTTCTGCCCCGAGATCGATCTCCATTCCCCCTCGGGTGCTGTACATCGGTATTCACTACTGTGCTCCGCGTTTTCCTCTCAATATTGTCTTAGTTTTGCGGGAACCGCTACGGATATATGCGTATGACTTCGGGTACGGTCTGCGCTATGGCGTAGCCAAGGATGCCGATAATTGTTCTTCATTCGCTCCGTCAGAATATTTTCACATGAAGAGTTCCACCAGTTATTATCTTCAATTGACCCCGCAGACGTTTTGAAAACGGGCACCACGGTACTTGTAGAGATACTTTTGGCTTAGGACATGATTTTCTGGATCAAGCCGTGGCTATGTGGGAACACATGGGCACACTATGAATGTGTCGACGGTAGAATTGGCCCACTTTGTTCGCTCCCATGGTTGTCGCAAGAGCGAGTCAGGGTTTCTACAGTAGTGTGAGTCATGGGCGGTGCAACTGATGTGCGTGTAAAACAGGGGGACACACTGTTCGTTGCAAACGTGGGGGACTCTCGGGCGATCATATGCTCCAAACCACCCGGAGAAGAAAGCACGGTTAGACCCCTCTCGGTGGACCAGACGCCCTTCCGCAAGGATGAGAGGACCCGCATCAAGCAGGCGGGGGGTCACGTGCTGACCATCGATCAGATCGAGGGGCTTGAGGTAAGCTCGGGATCAAGAGGAGTAGCTATTGCTGAAGACAATGATTACGATAATGATCATGTCGATGGTGAGCATGCTGGTGTTGGCGACGACTGAATATGCTGCTCCGCGACACTAGCGCCCTCTCGAGTTCTTGGGTCGCTTGGCTTGGTCGGAGAACTGCAACACTGTATTCCAATACTTTTGAAACAGGATGACGAGAAGACCCTATTTTCGGCTTGGTCTTGCAGCGCGGTCTGTAGCTTCACGAACCTCCTGTCCCTTGCCACTATCATGCGCTTCGTCCAGCCTATCCACGAGAACTGGGATACAAATCTTGGTGACGAATTGGACGAGATCGGTGACCCTCCAAGAGTGTGGCTGACGTCCTTGGACCAGCCAGGGTGTGCGTTCACGAGGTGATGCACGGTGGTGTCAAAGAAGGGTGAAACGAAGACCGCCTTCAGTTGTTGTGAGGCCTGCAGTTCGACGAAGAGAGTAGGAACCGGAGGTCGGGGTCGAAACGGCCGCGTCTGTCTCACTTCTAGTGCCTTTTTTGCCGTGCACAACTCTCCTGCAACGTGCGATAGCCCAATTTCGGAATCCAGACAGGCAACTTTGCAAGGTGTTGCGTACATTCCACACTCGCGATATTTCGAAGTAGACATCTCATCGAATCGTCAAAACACCCCAAATGCACCACAACCGCAATATGCTGTAGGAGTCTTGGAGACTCAATCGGAGAGACCGTGGGCGTGTACGCGGAACCGGAGCAGCTGGTGGTCAACGTCACCAAGCACGACAAATTTATCGTCATCGCGAGCGACGGGGTGTTTGAGTTCATTACCAGCAACAAGGTGCGCGCAGCACACAGCCGCTTTGACCCTCGATTCTCAACCGGCTCTGATAAGACGTCACCGTTGGTTGCCCGACGGGTGGAAGAGAAGCACGCGTACGGAATGCCTACCTTTTTTTCCAACGTTGGCAGTATTCTGCTCAACCTATAACCGCGTTCCCCTGACCGGACGTAGAAGGCTCTCGGTAACCTCAATTTGAATTGATTTAACTCTACTTTCCTTGCGTCATCGACACCACATTTAATCATATTCACAACCACACACACTTTTTTGCGGTGTATTTTACCAGTGCACGGAGCCCAGTGCACGGAGCACCGTCTTGTCGGACAACCCCGTTCGACAGCAGATTTTTCGATTTTCGCCTGATTGATATCATGCTCTGGACTATCGTTTTATTGAGAGAGTGTGGTCCTGTAGTTCGAATATACCCGTTCAACCGGTACACGTTTCACGTGCGAACCCGTGTTAGTGTCAAATTCAATGCAAGAGTACGCAAGTTTAGCGCAATGCTTCTGGTCGCGACTACCACAAGCTGTGTTCCTTCGTTAGTTAGCGTGACTTGAGACGGGTGGGGTGTGTATCGTTCAATGCCGTCTTGTATGTGTATTCGTACGAACGAAGTGCGTGCTGTGGACATCTCTTTCGCTCCTCATCTTCTTCATTCGGATGGTACTCATTTCTCATCAGGTCATGGAGGCGGTGGAGAGGTTCACCGACCCGTTGTCGGCGGCGAAGCACATCGTGCAGGATGCGTTTCGGACATGGCTGAGGTACGAGGTGCGGACCGACGACATCACCATCATCGTCATGTTCATTGAGGACTTCCAAGAGGGCGACCTTTTGGAGGTGAGACCAACGACTTCTCGCAGAAACCGTGCTGCGTGTAGTGTACCATCGTCGAGATAAGGGGAAAGGATTTGAGATATATCGCAGTGGGGGGTTGAGGTCAGCACGGCGTCCAAGTTTACTCTGTCGCAACAGCGGTGAGAATTGGTTGGTCACGTTTCTTTGCCGTGGTTGAAGTGGGCGTTTTCAGTACCGCATTTTCATCTTATCCGGGGACGATATGAATGAGATAGTGGGTTGTGAAATTCGTCAGTCAACCCTCCGCAGTACGATTTCTCCAAAACATGTGTTATTCGATGAAAGGCACCTCACTTCATCTAGGGTGTCGGCCTTCAAAGGCCCGACAGATGGGTTTCTATTCTATTGTAATGTTTTGGGTACTTCCAAACGGCAGGAGGGTATGACGACGCCCAAGGTACGACGTCAAACAGCAACCTTCATTGGGGAGAGCGTGAGGCCGGTGCGGCGCTACTTCAGCAAGGAGGCCAAGAGCCGCTTGATCAGAGAAGGGAGGGCTCGCGATCAAGACGAAGGTTAGGCCATCCGCGTAGTGTGGATAGTCGTGAAGGACGCCTTGAATGGCAATGTCGTTTGGGGCTACCATAGAAAACGCGATGAGGTGTGTCGTAGTTCGGACGGTCCACCAAGCCCATTGAACCAAAGGACATTCCATCCTAGTTCTCCTAGACATGTACACGCCACTCTTTTGATGACATCACATGGATACTACATGGACATGCATAGCAACCAGCCGAAACAACCCTACCAAAACTGACTGTGGCCAAGTGCGCCGAAAATAGAGATTATCGGGTACATGTCAACAACGTGCGGCAATATCGCGATGGCAAGTGTCGTCTTCATAATGTGGGAGATATCGCCATCAGGAACAGGAGCAGTGCCCCGTCGTGAACTGGGTGCGTTCTCTGTGACCAAACCACGAACCGAACCACCCCGTGAGGTGATTACCCTTCGATGCCGATAGATCAGAAGACTTTCCTTGAGTCGATGCGATGAGGAGATATTCTATGGTAGCGTGTGGTCGCAATGCGATGATGTTGTTGTCATCCTGTAGAATACAGAGATATTCCCCTCAGAAATATCCAACTGGTCGACAATTGTTTGCCATGCGTTGCAGAGACGTTTGACGTGGCGGCCAACGAGGTGCCCAAGACGAAGGAAGAAGTGGACACCATCCTCGCGATAGTCAAGGTAACCCAGTGCAACGTACGTTGTATCGTAGCAACAGTCGGAGCGACCACCACAGCGACCATTCCCATGGATGTTACGACCACCACTTTCATCCGTTACAGCAGTGGGAGGAATTTTTCGTGGTTGAGCACTCGAGCAATGCACAGCCATGGCGTTTGCCTTCAGTAGTATCGCTACGCAATCAAAGCGCCCCCGGTTGAACGCTGCGCATCAAACAGCACCTCCATTTCACCCCCTCGCAGGATATATTCTTGTTCCAGCACTTGAGCGAGAAGCAGATCGCCGACGTGGTTCGAGTTATTTCTCGAGAGCACGTTGAGAAGGGGGAGGCGGTCATCAAGCAGGGGGACGAGGGGGACAAGTTCTACATTGTAGACGCCGGAGAATTTGATGTGAGATGTTTCGTATGGTTATTGTGGTTGTGGCGTTCGAAATACATTGTTACCCCCTTGAGTGGATCAGCAAGGGCACCCGTCTGTATGACTACATGTCTCCATTTTATGTAGAGCCCCAGTTCTGCTATTATCGGTTCCAGAGAAGTTTCATCGAAGCCAACCCGACCATGAGGTTCGGGTTCAGCAGGGGGTTGAGCTATATTTGTTTTTGCACGGACACGATTGGTTTGTTCGTGCCGATCGGGATCTCTTGTGGCAATCTTTAGATCATGAATCCCTCACGTACTTGACGACCTCTCAGATGGTCTAGTAGGACATCTTCTCCTTACATACATGCTTTTCGATGGATGATGGCGTGGGTTCTTCCGATGAATCACACCGCCAGTCAGCAGCCAAGATTAACGACAATGAAACGAAGTGGAAAACAGGGGTGGCCTCGCGATGACGTGAATGGGTTGTCAGAATGAACGCGTGTGTTAGTGGCACTTCGCATGCTACTGCCAAAAATCAATATTTTGTTGATATCAGACATGCCTCCGCAATGTCATGTTTCGGCAAGGTGAGCGTCACGGACCACAACGGTGTCGATTCCGTCATCTCGCACATCAGCCTTCCCGGAGTGAGCTTCGGCGAGCTGAGCCTCATGTACGGCAAGCCCAGAACGGCCACGGTCACCTGCGTGCACGACGGCTGGCTGTGGTGCCTGGAGCGAAAAGCCTTCCGGGGCATCCTGGTGGACAGGATGACGCACGACAACACCGTAAAAATATTGAGAAAGGTACGCAGGGGTGCGGAATCGGGTTCCAGGTGTTTCATAGCATAAGAATGAATGGGACGGAGGCAGTCCTTTCAAGCCCGCGGGTTGTACAATGTGGGGTACTCCGTTTGTCATGAGAGTGATGTTGAACGTGTATTCTTCCAGGTGAAAACGCTCAAGCCTCTGTCTACTCTGAAGCTGCAGCAGCTCATCAGTCTCATGGAGGAGGAAAGCTTTGTGGATGAGCAGTACATCGCCTCCGAGGGGGAGATGGGGGACAGGTTCTTCATCATAGTTCTAGGGAAGGTGAGAGGCCAGGTTGGAAAACAAACAAACAAGCACGGTGTCGTATTTCGCATATCACTGGGGGTGAGTTTGAGAGTCGTTGGTGATTACGTTGTTGGATGTGAAGCACAATTTGGTAGAATCGGGGAAAGGACAAGAATGATGTCGAGCGAGCTTCGCAGGCTCGACAATTGTACGCATCGACTTCCAGTGCCGCCATGTTGGGTGATAAATATCGTATTGTAAGGGCTGCACAACACATTCACCCCATCGTTGACGAAAGTTCAAGGAGGTGCGAAGGGAGACATGGATGGCGAAAGGACAAATTTGGGCTAGAGTGACAGGAATGGACGTTCTGCTCACACCACGTGCTGCGACCTCGAGAGTGACACAGAGCCCCTTGTTATGCAGACAGATTCCGTCATCCGTCTGGAAGCTCTTACTTGTTCGCGGCTTGAGAGAGCGAAACAAAAGTGCTATCAACTTCGGTGGCAAAGTTGTGATTCTCTCGCCCTCCCGTTCGACAATATTGGTGTCGGAGCAATGTCATGCACAATAGTCGACCATTTACAACATTTGACCAATGTAGATTGGGTCGACAGTGCTAGCAATGGCTACAGGATGATATGCAACATACACTGGATCCGCAAAGAACCACGAGGACGATGACAACGACAATAACTACGAGAACGACAGGTTATATGCTATGTGGGAGTGGGGCACGAGCGAGAAAAGGTGGCTTGCATCAACGTGGGGGGGTATTTTGGCGAAACGGCGTTGCTTCACGATCTGCCAACGAAGGTACCGAGTGCGTACGCAATACCGAGCCTCTCAAGCAAGGCTTTGAAACCGGCGATGAAATACCTTTTTTTCTGCAGTTTCGTCCTTGTTTACGTCAGAGTAAGGGCTACCATTAATGAAAACGTACCTGCATCAAGAGTACGAGCCAATGTGATCGTCGGTCAAGTTTGATGCTGTTCTGCATACAGATACCCTGAGGGTCGATGCCTTTATATAGTTCAAACGCCGCGCAGAGTTCGACACGCGAAACCGATACTACAATGGCTGCCTATGCGGCGAGGTCTACAGTAGATCTCTACAATGCACACTCGGTCTCGTTGCGTTGTCGTTCGATGGCCACACACCTCACGTCCGCGTCGAGGCACGTCGGTGATTCATCCATCCTGTCTACATAGTTATTGGCCCAAGCAATGTATTGCACCACGTCAATGAAAGTTGCCAGCGTGTTGCAAAAGCTTCATCCCCGTGGTTGCTGCCCGCGGCCATCTGTTGGTAGCTACCCCAATCAGGCCTTCCGGACACAGGATTCCTGGGTTCTGAGTCAAGTTTTACATGCACGCCAACCATTGCTGGACTACTGTAGCTCGGTGCCGAACACGAACATTGATGAAGAACATCACGCAGCGTCCAAGTCCGCTCACTCTACCTTGTGTGCGTTCTTCGCTCGTCCTCTCTACCTGGTTGACAATGTACCCTTTTTAAGCAGTATGGTTAGCCAACGTCACATGTGTATACATACCTCCTGCTCTTGTGCACTCACCACTCCAGTGGTTCGGTTTATGCAATATATACTGCCTGTGTTCCTGCGCAGGGCTCGTTCGTGTCTAGAGGTCAAACCCGCGTTCTATCCTTGCGAAGATCAACGATGGAAGCTAGGTTAGGCCCGCTCCAGTCGGAGATAGACCAGGCCGGGGTTCGCATGGCCAAGGGGGAGGCCATGAAGGAGAAGAACGATACCTTGGTAGCATCGCTCCAGGTACAATGCTTTGCCGCATCCCACCGTGCTTGGAACCGCATTCCGTACACCGGTACACTTTACCAGGATAGTCTACAGTAGTAACTCGATGGGCGTGTGATTCGTGGGGAAGCGCCGGAGCTGCGCGAACTTGAGGCATATCTTAGACGACACATTTTTGGTGTTCGCCCCTAGTCTACTACAATAGTACGTAGCTGAAAGGGTACCGGGGTGCGGAGGACAGATAAAAAGCGATTCGATAAGCCCTTGTCGGCTAGAAACGAAACGGCAGCAGATAGTGTGGACCAAGCATCATTTCATGACGCACAGCGTACCGTACCACAGGCCTCGAAGACGGGAATCACCACATCGAACCTCACGCGATCGTATTCAACGATCGCCGAATCGCCACCCACAGGTGATCGTGCTGCACATGTGGCTCTACAAAACGTATTGCCCGGTGGCCCAGCGCGCTCATGCTCGAAGGTACTGTCGTTCTCTTGCCTCCCGTCTGTGTATCTTTCCATCAAACCGAGCAGGGCACCACCGCGGCAGATATTCGGTTACGAGCGTGGGCGGTTCAGCTCGGAGCGGCCTCGTTTGTGGGGCAGTACGAGCACTTGAAGGCCAAAGCCACCTTCGCGGTCAAGGTGTGTATTCTACTGCTGTAAAATACCGACGGTGATCTGTTCTACCCTCTCTCGTCTCATGACGAAATGTGGGCTCACTGCCCCACCTCCGCTGGAAGACACCGTGTTGAAGCTGATGGTCATGTGTTGGCTTGCATAGGAGAAACGAGATTACTACCGCTACGGCCATACGGTATGCAATGCAGCCGCGTTCTGCGGCCAACGTGCCGTTTCCATGGCGGCGCGCACAACATTTGAACTGAGCATTATCTTAGCTGCCATCCTGATTTTCGCTATCGGCGCTCTTGTAGGCTTACCACAATCTCTCATCAGGCGATTTTGTGGCTTGTTTCACGTGTGTTCGGTTCCACTATGGGTGCATGACGAGCTCTCAGAAAAACTATTAACAGTTTCAAGGCACCGCTTCTTTGTTGTTGCCCGTCGTGCGCAGACGTCACTAAAGAGGGGGTTGGTGGAGGAGGGCCAAGAGGCGACGGTGATTGCGGAAAGCCGCCTCCTGGCCAACTTTTCGAAACCGAATCCTTTCGTCCCCACCCAGCTCCTCACGTTGCAAGACGCGAAGGTAGGTTGTGGCTGAAATGGGCCATGCTCTACGACTGGTCTCGTCGTTCCATGAGTGAACTGAGCGGTTTCGTTGGAGGAGACGGGGCAATGAGGGACAAATCTGGCACAGCCGTATCAGTGCATCACTGGAGAAGTAATGGCTGCGCGACAGAGGCACCCCCGGATAGAGGGAGACTAAGAGATCAAGCTTTGGTACTTCCGGGGAAATGCTCACGATGAATGTCTCGATCGCTTGCTTCAGAAAACGTTCGGTGGTGCCGAGTCGAGTTCAACACGGGGCTTGTGCTTGGGGGGGGTTAACACACCCGTCTCCACCCTGCCGTCGACAACAACAACATTTGGCACAACTTTCCCCGCCCCCCGTCCCCGGTGCCCCCCTTTATTCACCTCTCTTCTATTCAGTGTGTGTATTCTGTCTACAGGCACTCGGTTATCTGCGACCTAGTGTGCCTTTTGGAGCACGGACCCTTCGCGGAGGTGAGAGAGAGAGTGAATACGCTCGAGGCTATAGAAAACCCTTTGAAGGCCCTTTTGGAAATACATCGGGAACTACCGCGGTCGGAATGGTAAACCGGACGTTTGTTTGGGGATGGTAGCGATGTTCTCTTGAGGACATCTTGGTTGGGTGCTTTGTCCAATGGGCACCGCGACTTCTTTAGCCGGCACAAGGTGGACAAAACGCTAGATCACAAGTACGTGTCAACGAGTTTCTCTTGTTGGATTGCAACATGTACCACCTGGATCAATTGCTTCAACATTTGCTGAGAGGGTATCAGTCCTGGTGGCCTGGCGCTAGCCCAATCTCACGACATTGAGGGTATGCTCGAAGAATGTAGCAGTCACGCAATTGTCAAGGTTGCGGTGATCAAACGGTACAATAGCCTCATTTTCATCATGCGCTGATGTGTATGTGAACGGGAGAGTGTCCACACGGCCTAAATATAGCCAGCAGTCGTGCTCCTGGGAACCAGCTTTGGTGTAGTCCAACAAGCTCTTGGCAGGCTGAACCTTGGAAATTGCCAAATATGTTCAAATATTTATTTGATGGTTTTGGCGTTCAGAGCTCAGAGGGATACGTTGAGCGTACCAGTCAAACGTTACGAAAAACGTTTCCACTCGACCGATTTGCCTCAATTGCCCGATGTTTCGGGGGTAGGTCCATTTTACCTTTCGGTCGTCGATCGGTCCATGAGTGACGTGAACTACGAGCGCTGGTGAAAGAGGGGCTTCTATGGCTGACTTTCCTTGTGCGTCACTGTTGTGTCTGTGTGCCTTGTTTCCCAAACGCGCGGCCCAGAGGCGTGTGGTCGGTCGTTCATCGTTCATGGTTGTGGTGCTACAGTAGTCGGCTGGAGTCCCCTTTTTCAAAGTAGATGAGTACTGCGCCATCCTACCTGGGTGTCAGCGCGATCATTTGCTGAGTAGCGCCTATTGTTTCGACGTACAATTGTAGATGCATAATCATACGACAGTAGTTCCACGTCCAGATCCATCGCCTCAATGTGATCACTAACCCAACAACGTAGCCATGCACGTATTCCTGCGCCACATCACCACACCGCGTCCCGTCGGTTCATTGACAAACAGGTCACCGCACGATTCTACGCGGCTTGCGTAAAGTCTGCCATCGTGTTCCTGCACGACGAAGGCTTTATCCACAGAAATGTCACACCTCATTGTGTCTACATCACCGACAAGGGCTACTGCCAGCTGGCCGATCTCACCTGTGCCAAGAAGATGGACGGTAACAAGGTGAGGCCTACGATGGCCTTCAAACCAAATATTGATGACGGCATATCTTCGACTGTTGGCTTGTGTCTGCAGACACACTGTCCCCCTTCGATGATAAACCAGACCTAGTATCTGAGTGGTCATTGCATCACAACTCCAATTGTCAAACCGACTTGGTCGACTCCCAATCCAACGAGCCGGGTGAACCAAGTGGCGATTATTCCACCGCTGTTCGCTTCTAACCAATACCATATCTTCGCACTGGTGTAAATATAGAGTAGCGTCTTTCAGTGTGGCTATTTGCAACGTTTTGGGAGTTCGGGCTTTTTGGCCGCAAAGGAAGGGCGCTTTTGCGAGAAACGAGAAACGAGCTTCCACCTGCGCCACGGCATCCACCTCGGTTCTCTAGTTACAAACACAGAGAGCATGCGCAACAGTGGGTTCTGCTTTTGTCTTTAGCACATCGTGAAAACGCTGAGTGCATATACACTACGAAACGTTTTTGTGCGCCTCTTCCTGCAAGAAATCGATGAAATTGCTTCCATTGTGGAAGCTGTCGTTATCTCGCCGCCTGCCCGTCTCTAAACCATGATATTATTCCGTCGACCCTCCACCCATTTTCTCTTTGGTTGACACCCCCAAGGCATATACAATGGTGGGAGACCCGCACTACATGGCGCCGGAGCAAATATCGGGGCAAGGGTACGGATACGGCGTAGATTACTGGTCAATAGGGATCCTCCTTTTCGCGATGCTGCACGTGGAGACGCCGTTTGCACAGCACACCTCCGAGACCCAGGTTCGACACCACCAAACGAAAAGGCTCCACAGTAGTGGGGTCGCATATACAAGGCCGGCAACCCTGTATAACGGCGGTGAAATTGCGTGACGCAGATGGAAGGGGTATTTGAATAGTACCGGGTGCCGGATAAAATGACTGGTGAAGGCCAATGGCACTATGCGGCCTCAAGCAGGAACCGCTATTATTCTGTGGAAGGACATCGTACTCTCGTTGAAGGAGACGATGGCGGTGGCGTGTGATACGCTTTTGACTTGGAAACCGTTTTGTCTGTTGAAACTACATCAAGGATACAAACATAGGCAAGGATCAGTCCAACTCGGATGCCTGGAAGGTTTTCAGCAGGAGCTATGTTGTATGCTCCAGCGGACGGTTACATTACTTGTGATGAAGTTATTTCACACTTTTAAGGCTTGATGAGGATGTCCACCCCCACGCTCTCGGCACCAGGTGTACACGAGCATCGCGTCGTTCAAGCCGGAGAGTCTCCCCTTCGACGATACGGTGTCGCAGCCTGCCCAAGAGGTGGTCCGTTCTTTCCTTCAGGTATGCCAGTGTCTCTACATTGCACAAGGGCCAATGCAACCCAACATTCCTCCTGCACCCGTGCATCGATTGAGTAGTCGTTGGAATCAGATTCGTGGGAGGTCCTTCAATCACGCCCAGCAATATGCGATTGAAAGCCAGTTGGTTTCTGATCTCGAGGTTTGTCTATGTACCGCAGAGTGATAGCTCTCAAGGCATAAACAATCTTTGACTGCTCTGTCTACAACTCCTACGGTTGTTAATGTGGCCGTTGTACCCCTCTCTCTCTCTTCGGACATTTTATATACGTATCTACGTAAGAAAATAAACGTTGGGTTGGCCAAGGTGCTCCAACTGTTGGCTCACTACTCCAGTTTCAACATTTCGTCCCTCTCGGCACCGCAGCCCAAGCAAGACGAACGGCTAGGCAGTGGAGGGGGGGCCGCCTTGACGGAGCATCCGTTCTTCAAGGGCATCGATTGGGATCAGCTAGAGCGAGGAACGCTTCCGGTGGGTTACCTATGACGAGTATGACGAGTATAGCAGGATCCGATCAATCACGTCACGTTGGTAACCCTGTCCCGTGGGCCATCCGGCCCCCCAGTGTTTGGCAACATTGCCCACGAAGTTGAAACTACAGTAGTCGTAGAATTGATCGTCGGGACACGCACAAGAAGCACACGCGAAGGGGGTGTTGAAACGCTCAACAATGAAATTAAGGGGTTCAGGAGCGAGCCCAACCATGAACAAAGAATGGTCCAAACGATATTGGTGGACGTCTCCCAAATTTGAATTTCCAAGCGAAACCAAAATCTGCATGGTGTGTGGAGAGATGGAGAGATGTATAGACTCGTTTGCTTTCCTCCGCCAAGAGAAATCGCACGTACACCCCTACTGTGTAGAACGAAACAACATGGACTTCCAGATCCACCTGCAAGTACTTATATCCCTAAATGCGTTTTGCCAACCCTTACGCACTTCGAAATAGTATAATAGAGTATTCCGCGGAGAATGATAGTTCCAACCAGAGAAAAAACAACCTACTGTACATGTAGCACATGACTTGAAATCGTTCAAATGGTTGGCAAAAAAAGACAAGCAACCACTGGTTCCAGCGGAAAGTGGCATCTGGAGGCCGTCAATCATGGGTTATTCCTCTGTGCCGGGCGAAGTCTTTTCAAAACGTCTTCCCCCGCAGGTAGAAAAAAACAGCCAGGGTCAGTCCGAACAACCACGAAAAACACGAATTCATGCCCGCACCTCCTTTGCGTTGAGGCTGAGTCCTATGAATGAGACTGGATGCATACATGGACTACAAGTAGTAATAGTTTCACCAGTCATAAGGTATGGGGTTTGAAACAGCTGTCGCGTCAGCACCAACACCGGAATTCGACTGGTACTCCGCCCCGCTCGCCTCGTTTCTTGCCATTAGCCACCATTGCTGGGTAAGGACATTGCTGAGCAAATCGGGGACAGATCAGACCCTCAATTCGAGAGCGAGTTCCTTAACGGCAGTCAAGACAGCGAGGACCGCAAGGACACCAAGGGTGGCGATGCGGCATTCGATGCGCTGTTCAAGGCTTTCTGAAGGGAAATTTGGTTCATTTAGTATTTCGTATACATAGTCTCGAGTAGATACAGACGTGTGTGCGTCTTTGTTTGATTAGACCAGGCCCTGTCTACAGAGAGATATGTAGATCCAATAGAGAACACAGTGGTAACTACGAACTTGTCCAGGAGTAGCACCGGCAGTAGCATTTGCTCAGAGAATGAAGCCTTTGGAGGATGCCCATCGACATATTGGCCTCGTGGAGAACAAGCTGGTTTGATGGAGACGTAGACAACCGGCCATGTATTGAAACCGTTCGACATCTTCGGCGTTGTTGTTGGGGTACGCGGACAAGGTGTCACGCACGGAGCATGCCCCCCCAGAGGGGAGTTGCTCCCGGCTACTCTGTCAAAATTATGGGTTGATGTAGAGGCGCAAGGCGCGTTAGAGACCACTATAAGACTCGAAGAGCAATGCACAAGAGCTTTGGGTGGCCAGCATGAGTGAGCTTTTCCCGCCCACCTGTCTCACTCACACTTTCCTTCGTCGAAGGTGGGGGACATACTTTATATAATACGAGGACCGGTTCAGAGATAGTGAGGCGAAGAGAGTGGGGAATTCGTCAGCTAAGATTGATGTGCAACCTCTCGATGAGTTTCGTCGGCTTTGCCTGTCTGAAGCTTTCCTTGTGCACTGTTCTTGTCCGTGACTCGTACGGGTGTGTGTCCAACACTAACAGACAGAGAGGCAGTATACGGTCGAGATGCCCGCTGTGGTGCATCACAACACCAGCCTGAGGGATACCAACCATCAAGGTGGGAAGCCCAGCTCACTCAGCAACAATATTGTGTCTGTTCAACCGCCCCGTTCGGGTGGCGACACGGACAAGGGCGACTCTTGCCGACCAGAGGAGGCGGAAGCTCCTCAAAGGAGGGTTCATGATCTGCGATTCCCCATCGAACAATATGCTCGACACTCCGCACAATTTGCAGTGTAGCTCGAGATCAGCGTTTCCGGCCGGGTCGGGCAAGGGGTGGGGAAGTCGAATGAAATTTTCGCGGATATTGGTCTGAGAAGCTGAAGGTAAAGCTTCAGAACGTTTAGGCTATTATAGTACGGTCATTAGTTCCTCCACCGGAGCGAGAACACTCTGTTGTTGTTAAGGAGGGAAGGAACGAAGAGAGAGAGACGGGGGGGGGAGGGAGACAATTGAGAGGTGGCGAGGCAGGCCACTAGTATCGGGTAGGCGCAGCGGGTGCCTGCTTGAAGCTCGCTCTGCCCAAGCTGGATCTCTCATTCTTTGGCTTGGGAGAATCAACGATTCAGGAAGAAGTTGATTGTGCTTCAAGAAACAATGGCAGCCGTCATACCGAAAAAGGAGAAGAAAAGGAAGGCTTGTTCGAAGAGCAGATAGAATAAACTGGTGTTTATTTTGTAACAGTCGAATTAGAATTTGGCTTCATTTTCAGTCGGAAACCCAGGGTCACGGTGTTTGGATTTATTATTGTAGTCTATAGGTGGGGATGTCATTCCGTGATCGAGTCCACGCAGGGGCTGTAGCAAAGTCGGGTAACGTGTGAGAGCTACAGAGCGCGTGAAGCAACGGAAGGACAGCAGCAGCCGCCTAACGCAGTAGCGGTGGCAGTTTAGAAAATGGACGGGACGGGACGCGGCGCAAGCATTGGGGAAGCGACCAGCGCGCGCTCGGGACCCTCCATATAAGGTGTGTAATCGGGTCCGTGTTCAACATCCATCGTGTCTGCCGTGTTCCTTCCCGCGTCCCGCTACTCTTGTGACCTCACCGCTGCGTGCATTAGCACGGGGGGGGGAGGGTGCAGTAAGATAAGCGGCGTACCGCAGTCTCTCTCGCCACGCCGTTCAGATAGGTACCCTCCCACACATGGGATGTGGTTCATCCCAACCGAGATGTACTATCGCTGGAAAAATATTTCATCGGAGAAAACGCGCTGCTGTACGTGCCACGATAGCAGCCATCGTACTGCACGGGGTGGGGAAACCTTGCGGCATCGGACATAACCGATCGACCCGCGGCAGTGGGGCACGTGGCGTGTGCTGTCAAGAGTATGCACATGGTTCCGGTGCCTTGTTCTTTGTTTCCCGCGGCTCACTCGGGACTACTTGCCCGTACCTGGTCTGTGCCGCGCACAGACGGGTAATGTAGCCGAATGCATCGACGATAATATGCTCACGTAAGCTATCGTCTCCACTGATGGCATTGACAAGTCCCACGGTATACAAAGCGGCCGCATGCGTAATTGGAAAGTGCATACAACAGCATTCACGGGAACGGATGAACAGAAGCAGAAACCGTGTTGTTGGCGAGTGGAAGTTAACCGATCTCAACGCAATAAAAAAAATAAATAAAATAAAAACGAAGGTCGTACACGTATCAGCACGGGACGCGCCAACGAGTGGAAACACCTGCGGTGGTGGCGAGTAGAGTTAACCGCATTGTGTTGCATGTGCGCTGTAAGACTCAGCACGGGACGCGCCAACGAGTGGAAGCACCCGCGCTGTTGGCGAGTAGAGTTCACCAAATTCAAGGCATTGGAAGGAAAAAGACCACAAATAATGTATCAGTACGGGACGCGCCAATGAGTGGAAGCACCCGTGCTGCATATGTGATGTCAGCCTCAGCACGGGACGCACCAATGAGTGGAAGCACTCGTGCTGTTGGCGAGTAGAGTTAATCGATCTCACCGAAAAAAACAAAACAAAAGCCGTACACGTATCAGCACGGGACGCGCCAATGAGTGGAAGCACCCGTGCTGTTGGCGGGTAGAGTTAACCGGATTGTGTTTCATGTGTGCTGTCAGCCTTAGCACGGGACGCGCCAATGAATGGAAACAACAGTGCTACATGTGTGCTGTCAGCCTCAGCACGGGACGCGCCAACGAGTGGAAGCACCCGCGCTGTTGGCGAGTAGAGTTAACCGGATTGTGTTTCATGTGTGCTGTCAGCCTTAGCACGGGACGCGCCAACGGGTGGAAGCACCCGCGCTGTTGGCGAGTAGAGTTCACCGAATTCAACGCATCGGAAGGAAAAAGACCACAAATAATGTATCAGTACGGGACGCGCCAATGAGTGGAAGCACCCGTGCTGCATATGTGATGTCAGCCTCAGCACGGGACGCGCCAATGAGTGGAAGCACTCGTGCTGTTGGCGAGTAGAGTTAATCGATCTCACCGGAAAAAATAGCCGTACACGTATCAGCACGGGACGCGCCAATGAGTGGAAGCATCCGGGCTGCATATGTGTTGTCAGTTTCAGCAACGGACGCGCCAATGAGTGGAAGCACCCGCGCTGTTGGCAAGCGGAGTTCACCGTATCCAACGCATCGATAAAAACAGCAAACACGTATCAGCACGGGACGCGCCAATGAGCGGAAGCACCCGTGTCGCTGCGAACTGGGGTTCCCCGAATCCAAGGTTAAAAAAAAAAAAAAATCCACCGTTAATGCTCTGAAGAGCAAAAAAAAAAAAAGCACGTCCAAAGTATGTCATCTGCGCACTCTCCATATTGTGAAGTCGCCTGGGCGTCAGCACGGGACGCGCCAATGAGTGAAGCACGCGTGCGGTAGGCGTCTGGCATTACCGTATTGGATAAAGAGTAGAGGCGGATACTAACCCTTGCGTGACTGGGTTAATTTGATTTTTTTGTTTTCATTTTCCCCACAACTGGCTCTCTGCCGTCAAAGATCTTCCAAGCATGCGTGTACACCCATAAATCACGGCGGCAAGGATGGTGCAGCAGTGGGTCCATGTGTGGGGCCCATAGGGATGGGGACGCGGTATATGTAACAAGGTGACGAACAGGAGTACAGTAGTACTACTGCTGTACAGCAGTAGCAGTTTTGCGGAAATAGTTAGACTGTACAGCAGCAGTAGTTCCTGAGCAGGTGCGCATGCCTGTCTCCGACAGCAACCGTCCGCACACAGGATGTACCTGTGCAAGCAATACCTGTTGGCACATCTTTTCCACCTCATCCTTGGACAGAGCATTGGGCAAGCGCATATACATGCTAGCGGCGCTAGATGCGAAGACGCGGACGGAAGACCGCCTCACAGAAGCGCCAGATCGACGGAAAAAAAAAAACGGCCCGCTCACCAGAGAATCGAGAGCATCACCCGCTATCGCACAAAATGCATAAAAATCGTGATAAATTTTACTACTCTGTACTACAAATAGAGAGCTGTGATCGTCAGGAGGTAGCAGATATTCGACCAATCAGATCTCGATTTTGATTCGATTTGTTTTTCGATTTTGATTTCGGCACTTCGTTAACACACGCCCTTAGCGGCTGGAAAATAAGTAAATCGAGAAAGGCTGGGATATCGTACGCCACCTTGGCGCCGAACGCTATAGAGGGCTCAGTTTTTATCCAGCTGGAGCAAACTTGCGCTTAAACGATCGGCATGGTCCATGACAAAAAAAAAAAAAAGGCATTCCCCGATATTGTTGGCAAGATATGAATTTTTAAGCCAGGTGGTCGTTAACACTCGGGCGGCCTTTAATACCCGCCTCTACTCAACACCTCCAAAACACGTGCCGAGGAATATTCGGGATTGTCGAGATACGGGACTCCCATTGACCGTAGCGTAAGCAGCAACAATCACTCCACTCAATCTACAGGCGTCGAGAACAAACCAACGCAAGCTCGCGATATAACAACGCGTCGTTCTGGGCCCGACGCAGAGCCTCGTCAGATATTTCCGCCGAAGATAGGAACTTGTAGAGCACTCTAACTGCAGATCCAGGGGCGCGATCGACCACGCTCACGATGAAGAGGAAAACAAGTGTTCCCGCAACGCCGCCCTGACGTTCGCCCGCCGCCTGCCGCCGGTTCGCTGCTTATACGAGTCCAACCGCGACCAGATGCCGACACGGGCCTCCACGCGGAGCGGCGGGGCTGCGGCCGGGCAAGCAGGGCGAGGTCGGGCGGCGACACCCTCGACACCACGCACGAGGTCTACCACGCGATCGGTGGCGAGCTCGACGGCTCGCCCCTCGACGCGGAG